AGGTGCGTGGCCTGGCCTAAAGTGATCCCTATTTGAAATGCTAATTTGCTTCTCTTCCCGCAGGTGCTTCAAGAGTGTGTGTTGAAGCTAAATGGCTCATCCGAGCGGGTCATCGTGAAGCCTTAATGAATTCACGTGTTCTCACATTACGCCGGGTGAACAAAGCAAACGGCACCTCGTCTCGTTTTCATTTTTTCAGGGTGTCGGGGGGTAAAAAAATGGCATTGTTAGTGTTCTTATGATCTATCTGTCACCTGCTTTGAAATAGAAATGTAAAGCTATTCGGTCGACGTCTCGATTTCATTTAATTGGATGGAACCCATCAGGGAACCAGGTCAATTCCACGCACAACTTCCATTGCTCATCCAAGCATCGCGAGCAAACATTTTTTTGGAATGACAAGGTAATTCTACGGCTCTATCAACACATTTCATCATCTATATTTAAGGATACTGTCAGGTTTTGCGTGTTGGTAGGTGGAGGACCCCAAAAAGCAGGGGGGCGGCCGCAACACTTGCGTCGCCGGAAACAGGGACAGAGGATGGCTGCGACACTTGCGCCGCCAGAATCGGGGGCGGTAGCCGCAACACTTGCGCCGCCGGAGTTGGGGGTGGCAGCTGCATCACTCGCGCCGCCGGAACGGGGACGGGGACGGGTGGTAATGGGACCAGGCCTTTGGTCCTGCGCAGTCCAGTCTGGGTTGGATCATTGTGAATGTCTGTATGCCCCTGTAACAGTTTTTTTTTTTTTTTTTTTTTTTTTTTTTTGCTCGTTTGGTTCCTTGTGCTTTTCAGAACCTTGTTCGAGTACTTCAGTTCGCTTTTTCCAGTGTACTACTGTTTGTATTTTTGTTGAATACATCTTGGTCAGTCCACCCGGCTCCTCCCTGCCTCCCTGCTTTTTGGTGTCCTCCAACTACCACCTCGCAAAACTTGACAGACTTACGCATAATAAATAATGAGACCAGTGGTACTTGTGCACTGTAGATGGTTACAGAACAAAAAGGTAAAAACGATGGGCAAATATCGGCCATTCGGACGCTTATTTTGGCCGATGTTTGAAAGGCCATAATTGGTTGGTCGATGAATCGATCGCATCCGATTTAATACCCGTCTTTTATGTTTCCTCAAATGTGAGGCGTATAATTTTTTGGGATGACGCACGACCAAGAAAAGAAAGAAGACGACGATGAGATGGATTATGCAAATGGAAGCTAAAGTGCACATGTGGTGGATTGAGGGCGGCAAAGGAGGGGGTGTGATAAACTACAAGGAGCAGATTTCATGAGCATTCATTAACGGTGATGTAATACTTGATGTACGGCTATGAAATAGCCACATGAGCCGGCAAGGGCTAATTGCTCAAAGAAAAAAAAGTCAGACCCAACGTTAGTTGAGTGTTTCTGCAGGTATATACTCTATGCACGTTGCATGGTCAGGTGCGGATGGAGTAAAAAAATAAATAAAATGACAGAGGTGAAATATAAACAATGTAGGACAACACCATTGCGGTCTGTGGCACTGTGAGCACACCACAGCAGCTTCTAATACATGTTAGGAAATATCTACATATGCAAAATATGTGTGAGTATATGTAGACGTGATAATGGCGGCTTCAAGAAATGGAATTAAGTAAATTCCAAAACGTTTTTACCTTCTGTCCTCCACGTATAAAAATTTGGAACACAGTGTATGTCAGAACCGAAGTGAAGCTTGAAAGGAAAAAGCGAAACCGTTGGATTATGCAAACTCAAATTTGTCTTGTCTGCCCTTTGAAGGGATTATTTATTTGTTTGTTTGTTTATTTTCTAAACAGAGGCATCGTAGTTGCCAGGTGAATGTTGTTGCGTTGTCCTCCCCCTTAGAGGTATAACAAGCGTAATCCTATTTCCATATCAGCGCTAAACACTCGCAGGCTGCCTTCCCGGTGCAGCGACCTATTCGTCATACTTTGTATATGCCGACTTATTGGTTCAGTCGCCGCCAGCGTCTTGTTGTTGTGAACAATCAGCGTTGCTTGATCTGTCGGCCTCGCTAATGGCGGCCCGTGAGAGCCTAGTGTTTGCGTGTTAACGTAGGGATGGCCATCGGGCGGATGCAAATACTGCAAGGCGGCACGAGAGCATATACTGTACGGTATTAAGATGTCCGTGAAGAAAATGCTGACTGTATGTACTTTGTATTTTATACAGAATGGTGCTTCAATTGTCAAATGACTACTTGTACACTTATTGTGTGCTGCAGTATGCCGGTTTTTACTGACCATATTTTTTTAATCCTCATTTAGCAAGAATTGCAGGAGTGCGATCAAAAACATGTAATTTGAGAATGTATTTGATTTAAATATAGCTTGATTTCAGCAAATACAACCTCCTAATGCTGACCTTCCAAATGCCCCCGCCCCCGATCCTCCACACCACCAACACATCATTTGTCCTCATCCGACCACCCGGCAACCTCTTCACCTTCACAGGCATCTTCACAGATCGGCCAGGCTAACGATGGCGAGATTTGGGTGCCAGAGGCCGGCCTAATTATGCTAATCCAATGAGACTGATAAGAAGACGGCAGAATTTGCTTGGTAAACAACAGCGGGTGCAGAGAGGAAATACGAGACAGCTCATTAGGTACGCCTGTATACTGTTGAGAGAAAGGTGACGTCAAATCAAAATGATTAGCAATATCTCTCAAGTCTGATTATGTACGGGAAAAATACACTAAAAACATTTTAATGTCCACAACAAGAAGCGTATTGTAAATAAATGTGTGCTAAATTCACATGTTCGTCCCCCTCCTCAGTCCTCGTCCTCGTTACGCCGCTGGCCTTTGCCCGCGCTCCTTGTGGACTGAGTGACTGAGGCCCGTGGGCGGCAGCCGCCGCCGCTGCTTCACTCAACCGCAACTCATCAAAGCGCCACTCCGCTGCTCTTTCTCTGCCTCTGCTCTTTTCATCCGCAAAACCCGAATGTGAATCACGGCAGCTGCAGCGCTGCTTTTTTTTGCATCACCATTTCTATCCAATTTGCTCTTTTTGCAGCTTTAAATGCTGAAACTCGCAAATGCTAGGATGTATGTGGACCAAAAACACATTGTAGCCCTTTTAACTACGAGGGCCCATATTTGGTAATTGGACTTTTCACTGCTACATTGACGCATGTAACTGATCCCAACCAATGAAGCGCTACATACAAAATGAAAACACTCACAAGGAGCTGCTGTAGGCCACAAATGACGCCCTGACGCTCACAAGTCCAGCTCTTGACATCACTCCTTTGGCCACGCCCCTTAAAGGCTCACATCCAACACAAACAGAGCACGTACAGTGACCATACTATATAATTTTATAATATCGTGCTATTTTTTGGTGAAAAATACTTTTCAAAACTATCATTTTTTTGGGGGGGTGGGTCTGGAATGGATGAATGGCATTTCAAATAATTTCATTGCAGTAAATTGATTTGATGTACAACTAACTCGACTTCGGACCTTGGGGACGGAAAAAAATTAAACTTGAAAGTGATGTTTTTAATTGGGAAATTTCCATGAATCATTTTATTACATCTTTCATACAAAATATAAGAACTAATTAAAAAAAAGTAACCAACGGCAATGACAGTTCACCATTAATGATATAGCTACATGTTGTGGCATGCTTTGGATCTTGAGCTTATCCCAATGACAGCGTAATGCATGACATCGAGTGGCTCGTGAACGGTTCCATTTGAGAGACTTTTAAAGTTGCTGTGCCATCTAAGAAAACAGTTTCTTTATGAATTCATTTAACAAATTAAAAATCGCACAATTATTATTTAAAAACAATGTACAGTAGTCAAACGAGAAAACACATTGTTTTAATAGCTTTATGTTCAAGTTATTTTATGTTCAAGTTCTGTGCAAATGTACAACACATTACTACACTCACTTTTTTTTTTCCCCTTACAGTTTTTTTTTCCTGCATATCGGACTAAACTTGGAATAACGCACGCAGCTTAGCATATGAGCTAAAAGTGAAAGGGATGGAGGTGGCAACAGAGGGGATGCCTTATCAGTGGGAGTATAATTAACTCTGCAAGAGTGCTGATTCAGTACACAGATAGTTCTAATGGCACGGGCGGGAGAACGGGCTCAGGTGAGAGCCTCATTAGAGATAAGGGAAATACAATAAAAGTGCAAACGTGTAGTGAAATAAAGTCATAAAAAGATAATCAATCCAGTATTACAAAATAGATGATGTGTGGCGTGAGAGTTGGTCAAGCCACGCACTCATCAAAGAACGCTACAATACTGACACCTAGCGGCTGAACCACGTAAATATAGGATTCCAATTTGTTGATTCATTCTTGAAAACACATTCAACTATTTGTTTATTATATTATTTACAATAAATCAGACTGGTTTTGTGATGGAAAGAAATTAACCAAACTCAGTTCATCAAAGGTGTGCGCTGACTCTCGTTTAAGATGAATTTGAATGTGATTAGTTCATTCTGAAACCAGGCACACCGCAGTTATAAGTGCACTTGTGCAACCACATTATTGTAGTTATTCAGATTTCAACCCCTCTCGAAAAGATTAATAAAGATTAATGACCAAAGCAGGTCATATGCACATTCCTTCCAGTGCCGTATTTTCACGACCATAAGATGCACATAAAAGTAAATTTTCTCCAAAATGGACGGGGCGCCAAATAATGAAATAATTTATTTACTATTCCAAATAATTTATTTACGATTCCAAATAATTTATTTACTATTCCACAATAATATACACTATACAGTTAGACATACAGATTGCCGTATAGTACGTACAATTGATGTGTGTGTGTGTGTGTGTGTGTGTGTGTGTGTGTGTGTGTGTGTATATACAGTATATATAGCTATAAATATAGATATATCTATATCTATATATATACACACACACACACACACACACACACACACACACACACACACACACACACACGCATTTTTTTTCAATTGAAGATCATTTTGGGTTTTTTTTCCCCAAGTAAGAGCAAATTAAGAATAAATCAATCACCAAGCACTTTAATGTACAGATTTATTTTGAAGATGTCCATTTCTTTTCATCCATAGCAAGACAATTACATCCATGGAGATGAATGTCACGCTCTGGACTGAAATTACGACAAAATATGACCCACAAACACCAATAAATTAAAGTCGCGCCAGCATTGAAAGAATGTTAAATACGTATAAACAAGAAGCTCTCTCAAGCCTTTGCACTTGCAACCTAACATGAGCTAACATGCATGTTTTAAGATGTGCAATAAAACTGGAGAAAACCCACTCAAGCAGAGGGAGAACAAGCAAACGCCACACGGGATGCCAGAGGCCAGATTCACACCCAAAAGTTCACAACCCAAAGGCAGATGTACTAACCACGACTACGGTATGCAGCTATTTTTCCAATATATCGTTTTAAAAACCACTACCGCATGACTACATCATCCATGTAAAAACAGCTTAATATTACTCCCCGAAATTTAAAAAATATATATAAAGGCATCCAATGACGAGAAGCCGTTTTTGCTAGTGTGAGTCTGTCTTAGCCTTGATGAACAAAGCTAGAATACAAATACAGCACCTTTCCATCTCAGCCGTGTCCATTCACCTGAGCGTGTTCCCCCGGGCTGTGAGAGGGCACGTCGTCCGACTCAGGCAGGAGACCCCAACTCCTGAGAAGAGCATGTCGCTGGGCAGGTGGCGTGGAGAAATAGTCCCTTTGTTTCTGGGAGTAAGTCTGCGAAGGAGTAATGATGTTCCTGTAGCTCCAGTCCTACGGTGTAAAACAATGTGATGATGGGAATGTGAAGATTTCCACGTGAAACGTTTCATTTAGGCTCCATGGTACCTGCCACCGCAAGTTGAAATCCTCCAGTAAATGAATCCTGGCCTCCCTGGTAGGCACACAGTCCGGAGGGTCAGGCTGGACCTCCTCCGGGTCCATATGGACGTCTTGGAAAACCAGCAGAGCTCTGATGGCGAACCAGCCTCCCAATTTGGGATGCACGCACACACCGAACATTTTCTGTCAGGAAAAAATGGAGTGCGAAAAGTCAAAGCACATCTACGCATGGGAAAGAATAATTATAAGGCAGCACGACTTTAACAAATAATCTAATTACATCTACTTCTATTAGAGTTGTTAACCGACTCAACACTTTCTTGCAGTCTTTTAAGCATTCACTACGCCAACATTACAAAATTCTACAAAACAAGTGTAACGTAAACGTAAATCAAGTTACAAAAATAGCTCTGAGTTAAGATCTAAAAAGTGATTAAGATTACTTTGTTAGCCCAGGGTTGGTCGCTGACGTCAGACTGCTGGTAGTAGAAAGCCGCTCCTGACACGTGTGCGGCAGTCTGCGCTAAGAATTTGGGCTTCCTGCTGGGTAGCAGCTCGTAGTCGTACCTCACGTCAACCTTCTGTCCAGCAAAGCTCTGCAGACGACAGAGGAGACACAGTAAGGAGGAGAAAAATATTCTCTACAATTCATCCTCAACAATACATGAACTCATTTACTTGTTTTTATTTTTATGTATTTATTTTTTGGGGTTAAAAATAACTTAGAAAAGAAAGAAAAAAAAAGACCCACACCCATTGGGCCTATTCACAGATTTTTTTGTGTGCACTTTTTGTCTGATGGCATCACGCAGGTCATTTTGTACTCCTCTCAGAAATTGTTTTAGCTCTGGTTTGTTCTCCGCTTCTATTTTTAAATATGATGTACAGTGGAACTGTACTACATCAACTACTTTGTTGCCTCGTTTTTATTTTAATGATTTTCATGTAGTATTTCCATTTTTATCGCATGCATCTTTGACCGTCCAAAAAGTGTAGAAACCGAGCTGGAACATTTACATCAGCCTGTAGTAAACAATTTTGAGGTATTTGGGGACATGCAAACCAAGAGCATCACGTCATGGTCACTGACACCTAGAGATAGTAAAGGTTCACTATATATCCAGGAAATGAATATCACAAACCTGAGAGACAGCAGAGGTGACACAGTGTTTGACACACTGGTCAATGGGGTCAGAGAGTCCTTGGCATCCTCTCTCCTTCATGAAGGGAAGGAAGGCTTCCTCGAACATGGAGGGAGTGCTGAGGATCAACACGGCCAAGCTGTCATCCGCGTAAGGTAGGTGCAGCTTGGCGGGCAACACAGAGTTGTACCAACCCACCTGAAAATACGGAGCAGAGATGCTGTCAGGTGCAAGCAACACAGTGCGACAGCAAGTGCATCTGCTAGTTGCTGCAATTAATGTGGCATTTTGACGTTTACGTGATACATAAAGTTAGAAAAGTTTCATAAAAAAATACTTTGGCAGTTGGAGTACAAATACCTTCAAGGTGTACACTTCAAATCCGAGTTTTCCAAGACTCTCCTCGAGTAACTTTTTTACAGTTTCCATGTTAACGTTTGAGGCCGCCATTTTTATGTGACGTCTTCATTACAGGGCATTTTGGGATATTGTGTTCTCATCTCCTGGTGATGACGCTTGGAATAAATGAGACTTTACAAGAACATATTAACAGTTCAAAATAATACAAATGCTTTACACAATGTATTGAATCCAAGAGGTAGTCAATAATTAGGGCTGTCCTGGTATTAAAAGGCAAAATAGACAACGACTATAACTACAATTCCCAGATGTCTTCAGAGTTTGAATGTGACGTCAACATGCCCTACGCTGCGCCCCATTATTTAAAAGTGGCTCGTGAAGCTAGGAGTAATATTGACATTTTTTATTATTAAATATTAGTGGTTTTAGTCTTTTCAGAATCTATACGACCGTCTTGTACTTTTCTATTTGATGTCGTTATGCGTACGTAGTTATTACTGTACTATAGCGCTGCCTGCTCACTCGACACCTAGGACAAAATATCGGTTAATTCACATTAATCTGATGTCTTTTGTGCTCAGGATTGTGTTTATCGGTCTGAAAATCATATCTCTGAGTAGGAGTGCCGTTGTAATTGAATCTCCCAGCAAGTGTCAAACTTGTCACTAGGCTGTTACCTCGGTACAGAAGTGTAAAATTACTTGGTGTCAGCCTGCTTGTTGAACCACTGATGACTGAACAGATGTTTTCTTTCTTTCCTTGCAGATCAACTGGAAGATGAGCTGGGACCGCCAACTGAGTTCCATTCTTTCTGCAGCTGACGACAGCGTGGCCAACATGAGGGTGAGCAGGCCTGCCTTCTCATGTCACCCTTCCGTAACCAACGTATCCAATTTAATGTACTTAATGTAAATTCTGTACAATATTTACGACAAATATAATAAAATTCTAATGTTCTACGTTTCCTCAGGGGACGCTGTCCTCACTGAGGAACTCCAGCAAAAGGGAAGAAGGTGGGTGAAACTTCCTGTATATTTAAACTGAAAAGGTGGAAATCCCTGCCTAACAAGAGTACAGTCATTGTTTTTGGTGAGCTTTCACTCGATATTTCGACTTCTCCAGAGTCATTTCCATTCAAGGAGAAGTTTCATGATTCAGATTTTGACAGCCACGCCGTTTGCGCTCCATCACCTAGCGTACAGCAGCTTCACCGTGTCATTCCCGAGGTCCAGTGGGCAGATGTAGCCTCCATCCAGTCTCAGCTGCAGACACAGAACCAGGTGATGGATGACACTTCACCTGCATCGCCTAATGAGGTCCAAATGGAACAAATTAAAAGTTGTATCTCAAGGCACCTCTGTATTTGCTCTCGTGCGCCACATAAAATGATTTATAGATGTCAAGCAAATGACGATGGTTTGAATTTAAAGTTTTGAGGCATATTTTTTCCAGATCATTTCTTTTGTTAAACTTTCAACTCTTGTATAGGATCTTGGTCATTTCTCCAGTTGAACTCAATGAAACGAACAAAGGGTTTCAAATGTGAAAAGAATTCCACATTTGCTTTCTAGTCCCACCATTCTCCTTTTTCTCAAGGCGATTGAGTCACTCACCAAAAAACTCGATGACATGGAGCGGAATAAACAGTCTCAGCAATTTCATATCCAGACGCTGCAAGGTAACGCAAAATCACGATTGGATATGAGCATTGTAAGGAGCACAAATAGTCGATACATAACAACAACGTGTCTTCCAGCGGAAGTTGACAAGTTGCGCGAAGATCTGAGAGGGAGGAGATGTGAAAAAGAAGACATTCCAGGAGTGGAGCGAGAGATTACCGATGTTGGAGCAGCCGCCTTCCCTCAGACGAGGTGCTTCAAAACCCTTTACCCAAGAGAGCTTGAAAGAAATCTTTTCATTTTGCTCTCTTATCACAGCTGGAGCTCAAAGGTGTGCCGAGCGGAGCTGGAACACCTCTGCAAAGAAGTAGATCAGCTGAAAACCCGACTGAGTGAGTCACACTAAATCTTTAGGAGTGTACAAGTCCCGAGCATTATTTTTGGCCTTCAAAGCAAAGAGGCAGGCACAGTCTTGCCCAAAACATGATCATCATTATCATCTTCTCGCTTTGTCCTCTTATTGATGATTTTTTTTTTTTTGTGCTGCTCAACAAGGGAGGCAAGAGGAGGCGATGATGCTCCTGGAGAAAGAGGCCCGAGAGAGCCGGCGACAGTGTCAGCATAGCAGCGAGGTGCATCCGTTTTGTTTGCCGATCTGCCGTGTTCTTTTTAACACGTGTATTTAAATTAAGGTTTACAGTAACGGTTTCCAAACATCAGGCCGCCGTTCTTTTATTTTTTTAACGCTATGTTTTGCACCATTTTCTGCTTTGTGTCAATGCCCAATATATAAACATATAACATTAATGATCCTTAAGTTAAACGCTGCTTTAAAAAATTGTCAGCTTGCTACAAATTGCTATTGTTTTGGTTCTGAATGTGGAATTGCAATTTGGCTGCTTCTCTGTGCAGTGGTGCATGGGTCACCCCCAAACTGTAGAAAGTCCTTAATTGTTAGCGTTAGCACCTAAAACAGAAAGGTGTGACATCCTGTTTTTTTTTTCCAAAATAACATTAGTAGTGTATATCCAAACAAAACAGTTATGTAATTTCCTGACGGATTGGTTTTATTGTTTAATGAAGCAGAAGAATGTCAAAGAGGTTCTCGCAACCTTCACAATTTTTAATGTTAGCTGACTTTGAAATATGAGACTGTTTTGGGATTACAGTTTATGCTATATTTAAGGCAATTCTAAACGTTTTTTACGGTGCTTCAATTGTGATTTTTTTCAGGATTGGTTGAAGACCCCGGCCCTATAAAAGTTTTATTAAAAATACAGTACTGAAAAAAAAGAACAAAAAAGTAAAGGTACCTTCACGTCACATCATTTTATGTTAAGAGAAATGTCTTTAGAACAGCTTGGAAGTCAACCGGCATCACGGAACTATGTGTGTTTGACTTTTGTGGTTCCACATCTATATTTACTGTATCTCAGTACCGTGTTGTCTGTGTTCTTTCAAGCAGACGATTCAGGAGCTAACGGATTGCTACAAATCTCACAGCTCAGATCTGGCCAAAAGTGCTTTTGAGTATACACAAAAGGAGATCCGCCACATCAGGTACGCGTGTCTGCTTTTGCACGTCCTGCTTGTTTGCCGTCTGATTCACCGGCGTGCAATTCTCGATCTCGCCACAGCGCCACCGTGTCAGAACTTGAGGGTGAGGTCATACGCCTGCGTGAGCATCAAGCCATGCTACCAGCAAGTAAGACTTGATTTCCCCTCCTGGTCCAAGTCCCACCTTTTTATCATTTTTAAAATAACTAATAAATCCTTTGCACAATGTTTTTTTTTTATTTTTATTTTTTAATGTTGACTATGCTTTGCTTTACACTTAGTGGTCCCAAATGGCTCGCCCAGGCTCGGCGAAAGGCTCAAAGTTGAAGAGGCCAAGCAGGACTTTGACTCAGAGGACTTCAGCCCTACTGTGAGCCTGGCTGAGATCAGCTCAGAAATCTCACTGCTGGATGATCTGCGTGACTCAAACACATTTCAAGGTGGCACCATAACCCTTTAAACCATCATGCCTTTTTTAGCCCTTTTTCTGAGGAAGAAATATATATATGTGGCCTATTGATTTGACTGACAACCAGTCAACGGTGTAGTCTGCCTTTTGCTAAAAGTAAGCTGGGATAAGTGGCACCTCACCACTTTCCCGGACAGGAAAAGCAGTTCTAGAAAGCCGGAATGGAATCTGGGGTGATCCTGTTTAGAGCATAGACCTCCTCCGTCAGAGCAATATCTGTCAAGTTAAAATGAAAACAAAACAAGAAGTGTAGACCGGCCCAGTGTTGTTGATGAGTTAAATGTAATTTTAGGGAACAGTGTGTGTGTGTGTGTGTGTGTGTGTGTGTGTGTGTGTGTGTGTGCGTGCTTACTTTAACAAAATATCCTAAAGGAGACTCCATATGCTTCCCAGAGTCATTTAGGATCATTGTTTATACACAAACAGCACCAGTGCTTATGAGAAATGAGTGTCTGTCTATCATCGTCATCCCAAGTGCATCAAAGGATGACCTCCTACGCACACACTTTAATATACTAACAAACTAGCTTTGCTCCTCCGCCAGCTCTTGAGCATCGGGGTGTTCCGTCCAGAGTAAAGAGTGACTTCCTAGACGAGGAGGAGTATGATGATGAAGACATCCTGGATGACGACGATGATGTGAACCCGGAGCTCGGATCTGACCTGAGTCTGACGGACCTCTGATCTTCTTTTTTTTTTTGTGAGGTCAGTCATTGGAATGCACAAGGAAGAGTTTGGGCATGTCAATCAGCAGAGCATTGTGGTTTGTGGTTTCCAGACTGCCTTGCAGAGTTCACCCGCTATAATTGCAGGTCAACACTCTGGTCAACAGTATTTTTTTTTTTTTAATCAGAGATGCAAGTAAACTTTTCCAGATGATTTTTTTGGCGCTGATTCAAAATCTGCCCTTGTTTTTCTCAAGCACATCAAATTTTCCCACTACTTCTACTACTATTACTACTACTACTACTCCTAATAATAATAATGACAATAATATGATATGTAATTTAGTTAGTAATATTTATCTATGAAGGGTTCAGTTCAGCAACAAGTGGAACTTTTTTTAAGCGTTATGCTATAAATTAAAACGCATGGTAAAATCTGTTTTGAACAAGGTCAAACAAGAACAAAAAATGAAATATCTCAAAAACATGATGTACTGGGGAAAAAAAAGTGAATACTTTTTTTAAATCGGCATCAAAAATATATTTAGGAACACATGAAGCCATCTCTGATTCAAATTTGCTATTGTCCTATGTTATTTGCTTTGCCACTATTTGGCGCTATTTAAAGCGATCTTTCTTTTGGATTTTTACAGTGCTTACTCACGTGAGGGGAAGGAGAGCCACACTTCCAGACGCTCCTTTCAGTCATTAAGTGAACAGCAAAATAGTGAGCATGTTCACGCAGATGCTGCTGTTGTCCACGGCTCTCACCCAGAGACTCTTTCGCAGACCCACCTCTTAGTGATTGGAGAAAAACTCTTGGACCAGATGCCATTAGAAGAGTCCATAACTACTGGGGGCACGTCATCTCTCCGGCAAGTGTATGCGTGAGGTCGCCTCGGATTTTACCGGCGAGTGTGCATGTTCTGCCCGGTATTTTGTCATCTACTCTTCCGCGTTACTCGGCAGGCGGGCTCCGGTCATCTTGCCATCTAGTGTATGCGCAAACAACAGCAAGCATCTTACCAGCACGTATCATTACGCTCAGTAGGCTGGCTTTCATCATCTCACCAGGAAGTGTACGCATAACAGTGGACTGGAGCTTGCCGGCGACTGATTGTAACTGCAGGGTGGAGCTCTCGTCAGCTTTTGGTTTCTACTTGTAGAGGTAGAGCCCAAAGTGTGGAGAGAGGAAAGCAAGCGCCCGTAAAGAATGTTTTCACTGATGGAGGCAGGGCTACATACACGACTATGTGTCGCGTGTACACAAATACCTGGTTTGTCGGCGCCGACCATAAAGAGCGAAAAACACAAAACACATTTCAAATACCCTTTAATAGTCATAATAATAATTGTCCATCATCCACATTGACCAGCAAAGCCTCACAATTCAACAATGATGCGTTTGACACCTCAATAGATAAACACAAGTGCATCATTTTTAAAACGTGGATTTCCACATGGGTTCATCTCAAAGGGGAATGCAATTTATTTGAGTTTTTTATAAATTAATCCAGGCGCTCGACAATAACAGTATTTACAGTATTAACACTTCAAAAAGGCCACTGCTCCAGTCGTATGTTCACGTCACATGTGGAAATGACATGAATGTACATGTTTAAAAGGCACTCTTAAACTGCAATGGTAGGGGGGCGGGGGGCATCATCAACAATACTGTATTTGAACACACCCTGGACACCTCATTAGATACAACCACTCAATCAAATCAGAGCATCACTACCTTTGTGAATGCGCCATGAAGCTCTTGTATTGCTCGGAGAGATGCACCTAATGTTGTAGCCGACTAGAGTATCCTTTAAATAACCCATGAACACAATAATTTGAAACACGCACACACTTAAAAGCCCAGGCACAGCCGAAACGCACCCGCACAAACAATAACTTTTATTCGAAACGAACATAGAAAATGTAAATAAAGTGCAACCTCATTAAACGTATAATTAGGCCGTTTGTTCTATTCTCCTCTTGGGCCTTTGAGTCATCCGAAAAGCCTTTAATGATAAGATTTCTGTATTTCCTCAAAATACAAAAAACATTATTAGAGGAAATACAGAACATGCAGAAATGAGAAATGGGTGCATTTTGTGCGTACGAATCAGAAATTGACATTTGCTGCAGAACCCAACATAGGTGGTATCTGTGTGTTATGTATCAGAGCCGCCATCAGACCTGGATACAATTGTAGCTACCCACATAACCGCATGTGGTAAGGATCAACAGTCACAAGAAGACAGACCGGGTGGTTGAATCATTACAAATGTTACCCTTGAAGAAAGGCTTTTGGGGGGAGTCAGTGGTTGGCTGTGCATCCAGATCAGTAGCTGTACATAGACAAAGGTGTTTCCTCCATCATGTCGTCCTAAGCAAGGAGAAACAGGAGAAAGACACCGAAGCCAGTCAATATAAAAGGAGACGTAATGGGAAATTGACTTCTTAATGGCCTGGTATAAATAGTCGGCTCTCTGATTCCACTCAAGTCCAATGCTCAGGCTGCCCCATGTTGTCAAGGTAACAAAACTCTCCATTTGCCCAGCAGTATGTGAGGAAGAGTTCACTGTCACTCACTTGCACAAAACGAGCAAATTCCAGCCCAAATATAATTGTAAAGTTTACTACGATTCCATTTTTGGTTGTAGTGCTGGCTTTTCAATAAAAAATAAATTTTCAAATCCAGGCGTTGGGAGTTTTATTTTGAAAGTCATGTTGCTTTAAAATGCAGGAACATGACATTTTTCCTTTTCATTGTTTGCCTTTCAAAATAAAATTAGTTTTCAAATTTGATTTTGTTGGGACTTTTACTTAGCAAATAATTTTCTGTATGAGTACGGTATTTAAATGCTTGTAATTGGAAATATTTACATTTCCCCGGTCTTGATTTTCAAAATAAAATAATTTTCCACCTCTGATTGCGCTGGGATTTTAAATTCGAAAATTATTTTATTTTTTATTTTATTTATCTGTGAAATGCAGACACAGGAAATATGTGTTTCTGGTGCTTATCTTTCAAAATAAAAGGACTCCAAATTCAATGGTGTTGGGCCTTTTGTTATGAAAATCAATTTTGTTTGAATCCTGGCACCGGCATTAATGAAATTCCAGTACGGTACTTGTTTTTCGAGACAAAATGATTTTAAAAATCCAAATGTTGTTTGGACTTGAAAATCATTTATTTTGAACAGCTAGCACAATCACCTCTTTACCTTTCAAAAATAAAATAATTTTCCAAATAAAATGTCCCAAATGTGATGGTGTTGGGCCTTTTGATAATTGTTTTACTTTGAAATGCTGGCATGGGAAATAATTTCTGGTGTTTGCCTTTCAAAATAATTGGTTACCCAAATTTGATGGTTTGGAACTTTAATTTTGAAAATCACTTCATTTTGAAATACTGGCACCTGGAAATATTTATGTTTCAGATTCTTGGCTTTCAAAATTAAAAGATGTTTACAAATTGGATGGTGTTGGGACTTGAGTTTTGAAAATCATTCTCCCTCACCATGGGCAAATCTTGTAGCCTGCGGAACTCTGGCCTGTTGTCTCGTCGACGCAGTTTGAGGAAGAGGAGCAAGGTGATGACTGCGGCGCTGACTATGAAGGCCGACACCAAGCCGGCCAGCAGGGGATCCAGCGTTGGGGAGTCGTGGACGGCTGAAGTGGGACCACAAAGCACAAGAGACGCGCCTGAGCTTTTCACTTTATAAAAGGTGCACAAAAGTTTTCAGTGCCGACATAGTTACAGTTACCGGTACATTCAAGCAATTTCATTTTAATTCAAATTTGACTTCAATTACATTTTACTCCTGTGCAATATTCTAATTTTAATTTCAAATATTGTCATTTTAATTTGATTTACAATGAAACCATTTTCTTTTAAGCTAAAATTATTTTCATGCAGTTTATAATATGCCCGTAGCATAATTGCCTAAGTAATTTTTCATCATTTTTGGGAGGGAAGAAAAATAAACATTTTCAGAACGCACATTGGTATTTTATGTTGGCTCTTTTTCCTTTTGCTTACTTTTTCACTTATCTGGTTAAAGTTTTTGTGCGAATGTCAATAAAAATTTTTTTTTACCAATGTGTGCTAAAAATTGCGTTTTTGCTTGTCTTCCAAAAATACTGATAAATTACTGTAATTATGACTTGACCGTGGATGTTTTAAGAGGCGTATTAGTTTGGGAAAGTCCCTACTAAAGGTCCATAAACCAAATGCAGAGCCTGCCGCTGCTATCTACACACGTTGCTATGGAGCACTGTTTTGCCAACTCGACGGTTTTCACATCAAGTAAAAACAACCACAGAGGAGCGAGTCATCCCTCCTTCCCTGGCTTATGGAAAAAAGGCAAAGTGCCAAATGTGGACTAATAAAACCACAATGCCTGGGAAGCAGAAATCATGGGTTCTTTTTTTTTTTTTTGCCGAGATGTCCTAAAAAATTCTCTGCCAGGCAGATGGAAAGATAAAATGAATAGGGCGGCACGCTATCCCAATGGATTGAGCACGCCGTTGAGGGTGTCTAAATAATTGAGTGGGTAGATTTAAACGGCTATGGAACACGAGTCCCATGACTGTCTCCAAACAGAAGGACCAATGTGGACGGCCTGGTGGCGACAGCACTTGTGTGTAGAAGAAGGAGAAAAGAGCTGGCTTGTGTCTAAGCAAACAAAAGAACAGTGTTGCTTTTGTTCTTAGGCCAGTTTAGCCTCTGTCATCATCCAAACAGTGAAAAGCCAAGGACATATTTAGAAAGCACTCGGTGGCTGTTTTGCATTTAGGGCAAGTGGGGAAGTGCCGATGCCAGCTGAGTTTTGGTGAGAGAAGTGGGGTGGACCTACATCGAGACACGCAACCATTCACTGTGACACTCGCATTCAGACGTGAGAACGATTTAGTCTTCTATTAAAGTGGAAGCCAAGTAAAAAAAAAAAAGTTTGAAATACCATGTTATCTGTCTATAATACAGGCAGTCTAAACACTGTTTTCTTGTTATTATGTTGGTGGTATAAGAATAAAGGCTGAATTAAGCCACATTTTATGCAGCATCGCCCCCTGCTGTCGACTGAAATTGACGTCAAAACTGGGTTTGGTGACGTGACTCACCTTGTTTGCTCCAGTGCACTTTGGTGTAAATTTTCGTTGACTGCATAATTGAATATAATCGGCTGATATTAGATCAGATAAAAACTGAAAAAAAAAATCCACCAATTTTGAGGGCTATTTTTTTTTTACACATTACAACAAAAGACAATGCATCAAATGTCTCCTCCCCAAAAGTTGTCCAAAAAAATTGTCCGATACTAAACAAATACTAAACGACGAAGTAGTGTGTAACAGTTGATTGGGAAATACTTTGCTAAGGGACCAAAAAAATGTTTTGGTTTTATTGATTCAATTTTTTATTTATGAATCGCTCAGTTAATCACTTATTGGATTTTTATTGAGCCAAATATTGAAATCGGTAATACCCTAAAAAAATATATCCATATTGGTCGCCCCAACTTTATTTTACTAAACTTGGAAGATAAAGTCAACTTTAGTACTGGACTTACTGTTGCCCTTAACGTTGAGCTGCGATGGGGTGTCTGCATGCAGTTTGGTCTGCGTGGATGTGAGGCTCGGTGGGACGACGGTGGTATGCACGGGGGTTTTGCTGGAGGTCCTCTGCGCTGACATGAGAGTTGTCATCTGAGAGGTGGAGGTCTCTCTGGAGGAGGTGGTTGTGAAGCGGGTCGTGGTGGGCGTGGTATATTGCTGAGTCGTGATGGGTGTCGGCGTGGTATGTTGCCTAGCCGCGGTGGGCGTGGGCGTGGTATGTTGCCGAGCCGTGGTGGGCGTGGGATATCGCTGAGTCGTCGTGGGCGTTTTATCCGAGGTGTTGCGAGACAAGGGGGTGGACACGGCAGCTGCCCGGCTCAATGGTGTCGTGGAGACAGGAAGGGAGTCGGGCGGCTGGTGTGAATTTGTGTTGGCCTGGGTTTTGTTTGAAGGGCTGTGAGTAGATGTTGTGTCAGAGGCTTGGATGATGAACGTGGGGGTAACGGAGGGCTTTGATGTCATGACGTCGGTCAGGTTGACGGATCGTTGTGGCATGGATGTCGCTGAGGTTACCAAAGAGAATTGTATTAGCGCCGCAGTGAAATTAATAGACTGGGTAATTCTTGTATAATCTGTACATCCAGAAAGCATTCACAGTGCTTCACTTCCTTTTTTCCAAAATAATTCACTTTTTTTCCCTATCAAAATTCGACACACAACATTTTAAAATGATCGCATGAAAGAGAGTCTGTTTTAATTTTTGCAAATGTAGTAGCTATGAAATAATTAAATGAGGGGGGACGTGCAGCACTGCAAAAACTTTCCCTATGCACTGCACAATTTCATTTCATTTTAAAATAAGCCTGTCACAAAATGGGGGAAATGAAGCACTATGAATTCTTTCTGGATGCACAGCATCAACAAAAGTATTTCCTTCAACAATCTCCTGTGCCTCTTATAGATGGCGTCCACTCCAACAAATAAATGCCTCCTTCAAACCGATGCCCCTTTTTTCCCTTTGAAAATAAAACTGTATTATATATCTCGATTCACATTGTTCACAATCACAAAACATTCATTAACAGCCGTTGAGCCTTCGTCTTATATAACATTCAAGTGCCTGGGAATGTGTGTGAGCGTGTGTGTGTGTGTGTGTGTGTGTGTGTGTGTGTGTTTGTGCCTGTGTGTCCTCACCATCACTACTTTTCTCATGTCATGGTGAAAGGTCTCGCACGGCATAGCTGTAGAATTATTCCTCACTCTCCTCACTTTTACATTATTTAACCCCCTCCTTTATGCGGATCCGATAATGACAGTGATCCATCAACGGAATACCAAGTAAAGGCTGTGAATTCTTATGTATGTACATGCACAATCGTGCCTTGGGATATCAGTTTAGTTTGTTCCGTGACCATATTTGTGACTTAAAATAGTTATTTCTCAAATCATCTTTCCCAACTGAAATTAATTTGATACAAAGTCAAGAATTTTTATGTTTTGGCCAAATTTTGTCTCAATTCAATTGACATTGTGCTTCTCCTTCAGGTGTTGTGTGTGCCCTGGCCATCAGGGGGCAGTATAATACAGGCATATATAGGTGTAGAAATTCAAGAAGAAATTGGAAAAAAAGTTATTAAAATCTATCAGTCTGGAATAGAAAAGGTTACAAATCATTTTCCAAGACTCTGGGGCTTCAGCAAACCACTGTCAGAGCCATTATCCACAAATGGATAAACCTGGGAACAGTGGCAAACATTCCCAGGAGTGGTCGACCAGCTAAACCAAGCGTTGCAACGATGACTCATCCAGGAGGTTGCAAAAGAACCTCGAACAACATCCAAAGCCTCAGTTCAGGTCAGTGTTCACGACTCTACCGTAAGAGACATTGTCTGTTGGTGAAGTGAGTTGAGGTCAATGCTGCCATCATTATGGGGTGTTTCTATACTTTTGAGGGGGGGAAAAAAATGCCATTTTTCATGTCATGCTCTATAGTTGTCACTATACTTTTCCTCTTTGCCTCCACGGGCCGTACATTGGTGGTTCTATCAGCTTATCCCCACGTGTCAACCTCCTCGATACAATAACGAACAAATATAGCCCAGCTAATGACTTCCCATACTGAATTGCGTCCATAAATCTCCCTACTTACTATTCCCTTGGGTTGGCTGTGGCGTCGAAACGGCGACTTCCCAATGTGTCGTCGTATTGTTGCCGGTCGAGGAAGTGGCGTTGGAGCTCTTTGGAGCAATAATGGGTGGCAGATTGCTGGTGAGATCCAGGTCACGTTCTGGTGCTGGTTGTGCAGTGTGCTCATTACCTAATAGGAGGCAAGCAGAGCCAAGCTTAATTAATGCTTATTTGGTGTCATGGGCAACCGGATTGCTAAAATACAGTCCACGCAAGATCCAAAAAGATCAGAATTACAAGTTTGGGTTCCGTGTGGACACAAAAGTTGCACAGTCAGTGAAAGCAGTGAGCAAAGGCAGCAAGCAAGTATTTAAAGCCATTATAAAAACCATGCCATGGGATATTTGCAGCTACAACATTGATAATTATTATTCCGTATCATTCCGTGTTTACAATCATTATCAATACACATGCTATTTTTGACGTACAATCAACATGACATACAGGACTATACAAAAAAAAGTCTACACATACCTGTTCATATGCACTGTTTTTGAGATAAATGATGTAAAAAAGTTTTCCAACATGAATGTGGTTTATAACCTGTACAACGCAATTAAGGTTTTGCGGGATTTTTTTTGAGAAGGGAAGTAAAAACAACTGAAATACAGTAATGCGTTCGCACAAGTGCGCACATCCTCTTATAACACCATCATGCGTCACTGTAGATCAAAAAAAAGTCTACACATACCTGTTCATATGCACTGTTTTTGAGATAAATGATGTAAAAAAGTTTTCCAACATGAATGTGGTTTATAACCTGTACAACGCAATTAAGGTTTTGCGGGATTTTTTTTGAGAAGGGAAGTAAAAACAACTGAAATACAGTAATGCGTTCGCACAAGTGCGCACATCCTCTTATAACACCATCATGCGTCACTGTAGATACAAGATGTGGTATTCTTTTGTTGATGAGCAGTGTTCAGCCTTCAAAGTTCAACCTTGGTTTCATTAGACCATAACGTAGCATATTTTGTGTTTGGGAAGATTTTTGGAGTCACAATACTAGTGCTGTCATCCAGATTACTGCTCAATCAATATGGCAATTAATATAACATTTTCACCTACTATACATTGACTATGAATCCCTTTTTCCTTATCAAATCACGATCACTATGAAATGATTTATTTTCATCAGCATCATCATAAATCATAAGTCAAACAATCAATAACATCCCAAAAAAAAAAATGAACAGCTGAGTGAAAAGGGTTACAGCTGAAGCATTGCTTATAATAATATGCCAATACAAACACATGCAAAAGTACTCAATCATCTGAACCAAAGGCATGACTATCTACTCTTAAAGGTAGCATGAAAGCTACGTGATTTAAAATTCCCTCTTCCTGTTACACCAGCTCTCTCTATCCTCAAACATTTTCTGAACAGTGAAGGCTAGCAATATGACATACAGTTGTTAACGCCACCACATTAAGTAATGATGTCTTTTTAAGCTTTAATTAGCTTATCGAATGAACGCGGCTTCCCTTTTCCATTGCTCTTGATCAGTTTAACTAGTTTTGTTCCCCTTCTCCTCCTCCTTCCCAACATCCTTTTGAGGCAAACCAGAACGCTGACAGAACGTAATGTCATTAGCGTTGGCTAGCTCATTAGCACAATGACTTTCATTACCGCAACAATCACTCACACACGCAGCGTTCAGCAGTCTAACTTATTTCCAGCGACCTTGACTACGAATTGTCCACGTTGTTACCCAGTCACAGTCATAACCATATATGAGATATTTTTAGCTTCATTTACAAAGAACTTACAGAATTTACAAAGAACTCTTTATATGATTCACAGCTACTATCACTACCAGTAACAGTTCCTAAATATTGAATGTGAATGTATTAGTCCTAAATGTTAAATACAACTGATTAGTTTCCATAACATGAGACTTTGTTAATCACTGCTCCGTGCCATTATCCAGTCACAGTCACTATAAATATGACATAGTTTCAGCTACATTTACTGTGAATTCTCTTATACCGATGCTCAGTCACAATTAGAGGTGGGTAAAGTAGCCATTAACTGTATTCAAATAAGAGGAATGTTAATTAAAGGTAATACGACTCAAGCAAAAGCCCCCAAAAAACAGTCTTCCAAATAATTACTTGAACAAGAGTAATAAATATTCAGAAAAATCAGGTTTTCATAGTAATAACAACAACAATCATTGAATATATAGTATAGTCATATATTTTGTAATATTTAGGAATTAATTACGGGTTAGGTTGAGCATCAGGATAGGTGGATTTGTTTTTTTTTCCTAGAGCCATCTCTGATTAAAATTTGTTTTTGTGCAGTGTTATCAATGATTACAATATTGATTTTAAAAATAGGGATTATCACCTTGGCCATAACCATGAAGAAAAATATTCAAGTAAAAATAAAAAGTATGTTGCATCAGGACTACTCTGACAAGTAGAATTTATCTAAAACGTTACTAAAGAAATTGCAACGGAATAAATGTAACATGTTACAAACGAAACGTCCATGCAAATAGACACAGGAGCCAAGCTGTACAATACTGGCCTTGTGCAGCAACCTGACTCCAATACTCTATGAGACTTTTGAGTTTTTGTATATGTTATGCTCCATGCATGTGTGCAGAGTGGGGTCATCGAGTACAGAGAACCACTGTTACACTCGCGCTGCAAGTTCGAGATGGTCTACACGAGACTCGACATGTAGTAACCCGCTCCTGCAATGCTCAAAGCAGGAAGGTTGTCCTACCATCTTCAGTACCTTTGCTTACCGTCAGGAAATGTACAGACAATGTGTGTTTTGTTTTCTTCTTGACTCTCTTAACCATCATAAATGTGTAAACACAAGTCCCATCAATCCATTTGCCATACCTTTATCCTTATTCATTTTACAGTGGAAGCTGGAGCTGATCACAGCTGACTTTGGCATAAGTAGCATGTAGCAGTCGCTAATTTCATTCAGTGCTCTTTGTCAAAAATCACACACAGATGGACCCAATTTGATGACATTTAAGCCAACAATTTCCTCTAAATTGCGAGTCAGGCTCAAACGTTTTAAAGCTTTAATCACCCACATCTAATGTTTTCTCACGGCTAAGAGCACATTAGCATTTTGCATTTGAGGGGATTTTTCCCTGACATGGCTAACGGGCATTTTGTCATTGCTCATATTTCTGTGTGTTGCCGCCATCTGACTAACCTCAAACTGTCTCTAGTCTGTCATTTTCTCCTCCGCTCTAATATGTCACCCTGTAATGAATGTAACGATCGTCTCTGAATCTGCTCTTAAAAAAAAGAATAACAAAAGGAAATATAATGCGCAACTGTGTTAATATAGGCTTGACTTTGCAATATATGCGCTCTCCAAATGTGTGTGATTGTGAGGGCATCTCTGGTTCATGGCCTCCCTTTTGATATGGAGTTCCATTGGGTCTAGGTCTAGGCACCTTTTGGTTGATTTGAATGTGTACTGAGATTAAAAAGTCCCCACACCCCACAGGTTTTTGTGTCACAAGATAGCCAAGAGCCCAACGGTAACTTTGACATAGCTGCAGGAATTTCTGCCAAGTACTGGCTGGCTTAGTACATGTAACAACAATCTCCTATCGTCTTCCTAAGTCTGTGCAATGTGGCAGAGTGGCAAGCCAAAACTCTCCTTCTTCTGACTTGATTAAAATAGAAAAATGTAACATCCACATGAACATGTTTTATGTCTTTGTACGTTTCTGTTTTGACCATCTTTATTACCGATTTGCCTTACTGTTTGTTGTATATGTTGAATTGCTCCATGTACAGCACTTTGTATGCAGCGATGGCTGTTTGAAAATGCTCTATAAATACAGTTGGGTTGAGTTGAGTTGAGTTGATATAAACGTGTAAATGTTAGTCAGGCAAAACGATCATATAACACACTGAAACACATCTGGACTACAATAAAAGAATGGACAAGTGACAGACGTGAACAATGCAGGAATGTTTGCTCTTTCTGTCTGGACTACAATAGAACAATGAATGTGTCACGAACGTCAAGGTTTTATGCCTTTCACCTTGTTTTAATCTACTGTTGTTTAAAAAACAAAAAAAAATCAAATAACATGCAGTAGCCTCTTCTTCTTCAGTCTGGCCTAAAATAGCAGAATGTGTGAGATGTGAAGAGCGTTAATTAACTGCCATCTCTGCACGTGTCGGAGTCTTGTAATTACTTGATGAAGTGCTTGCTGACTGGATTTTTGGACTTACTATAGCTCGACAAAAGCTCATTATCATCTGATAAAACCCAGCGTGACAAACTCAAGAGGCCACTTTAAAACACAGCGAGCGGAAAGTCCACACATGGCCTACAGTGGTCTACGGTAGAGACCCAATTAAGTGCGAAGAAGTTAGCGGTGTCATTATGTCTCGTTGTGTGTGCGCTTTCCACTGACAGCCAATAAACGGAAACTTTATTTTCAGAATTGAAGAACTGGCGGGGGGAAAAGTGTGAACATGTTGGCTGTGTGTAATAGGTGAGCTGAAAGAGCAAGAGGAGGGGGAAGTGTGTCAAAAGCAAAAGTGTGAAATTAATAATAGAGAAATAGAGACAGCTCCACTTTGCCCTTCTTGAGGCAAAGAACTATACTGTACTGTATTTACTAACATCACATCTAAATCGTTGGTTAACCTGAATTGACTGCGAGGCATATAATTTCTTGAAGCAGATGCTAATGCTAATAGCATGCACAGTGAGTGGTACCTTGACCCAAGCGACCTGTCAGGGTTTGGATTATTTTTGTATGAGCCAAAATTTAAGTCACAAGGAAGCTTAAGACACTTCACCGCTTGACTTAAGTGGGGAAAAAAATGGTGGAATTAAGGTACTGTAATGCACTCGTATGTGGGCAAGGAGAGCCACAGTTCGTGATTAACTTTCAGCTGTTTACTGAAAAGGACAAACTGTCAAATACACAAATACAAAATGAGAACATTAGGAATGATTCCAGCCAACGCCAGTGCCTGATTTCACTCACAAGGCCACGCCCCTTAACGGCACACCAACCCGCCACACCCACCACACAAATACTGTACTACAGTATGCACTGTAGTTACACTTTTTAAAACCTGTTTATTTCTTTACAATCTTTTTTTCTTTTAATTATCTGCACGGCTATTTGTTTTACTGTATTAAAAAGCAAAAAACCAAATTAGTCTTATTTTAGGGAGGAGTTGGAACGCATTAATGTCATTGCAATTTATTTCAATCGGGAAAACTGATTTGATATACAGTTGAATGCCACTCTTTCAAGGATAGAGACCAGGCTGCCCCTCAAATAGGGAAAATCGACGTATAACTGATGGCCATTAATATATTTATATCGATCCATTAAAATCATTTGGGAAAAATATATAAATATATATTTTTTTAATAAACATACGTCCTTACCCCCAAGAAAAACAAAAAACTGTCTTGCTAGCAAACTGCAATTTCTTTTAATCCTTCCTGTCCGCTCTCGCCATCGGCATTTTAAGAGTGTGAGGAGTTTTACTATATTTTTTTATTAGTTGTTGAACATGACACGGGAGTTACCGCCCCTTTACCCTTGGGTGACAACTCGGAAAAGTGAAGATGATACTTGACCGAGGTCAAACAATGTGACGAAATACAAATGACTGTGAGCATTTGTACTTCGTTCCATCCCACGACTACAATCTGACCAAGATCAAAGAAAACAAAATAACATAAAAAGTGGCGCCTACCATGATCAGCAGATCCCACATGCAGCAGCAGCAAGGCACCAAGGTAAATACACACTCGAACCTCCATCGTCATATCTGTTTTTCCTTTAAAATTCTATAATCCACGGTCACTCCGTCACTAGTGTACAGTAGTGCACTGCAGATTCTGCTACTGTGTATTGATGTGTTCGTGGCTGAAACAAGAGTCTCTCTCTCGCTCTCTCTCCCCCTCCTCGCTCTCGCTCCCTCTCTCTCTCCCTCGCTCTCTCGTTTACCAGAAACAGTGCCACGTGTTCCCGGTTCAAAAATAGCATGCTGACCTCACGTCTTTGACTGTCACGAAATGTCAGATGAGCATCAATGCAGTCGTGATAATCCATTAAAAACAAATAGTATACAGTGTTATGCTTTTCAACACGCCTCCTTTCGTTTGTGTCAAGTCACACAATGTTCATGATTCATTTTATAATGCCAACATTTGGCCACATGGTGACGCTATTTCCCCGTGTTTAAATAGATTTGACTGGTCTTCGTTGACTCGTTGTTTGATACGTATGCGCGCCGCCATGTTGAATGTGTCAGATCTGCCCGAAAATGAACGCAGTTTAATGGACTGGACTGAAGAGCTCCAAAGTACACAAAGTTAATGCCTTTCGTTCACCCCTTCACACACACCATATATATATTTGTGGCACCAAAAACAACATATGCCAAGTTTAATCAGTTTATTATAAATGCTTCGTCCCATATATTTTCAATACTGCCACCACTTTGACCGATTGGCCTCTGCCATGTGCCAAGTCCATCAGGACCAGAATAGACCGACTTCTTCCCACAATCCATAACTGCACAGAAATCACAATAACACCAACTAATTCCATATTACAACTACTTTTTTTTAAATTGAAAACATATGTGACTATATAACATGGGTGGCTTACTCCCATGTTAACATTACAGTTCGTTTTGTTTCATTTTTTAATCATTAATTATTATTATTATTATTATTATTATTATCCGTTCATGACACAAACTTGGAGTTACTCCCCAATTTCGTTGTATCTGCACCATTGCACTGTACATTTAGCCAAACAATATTGCGTTTGGACAACATTATCTTTAGAAGAAAATAAAATACCTGCATATAAAACTTCGCAGCGTTTACTGAGGAACTGCTGGTTTTGGTTCGTTCACAGGACGATTGACAGCCAGGGTTAGTTCAACATTTGAACGCAGCTAATATTGCCCAAACCGTGTTGCGTACAGGAACTACGTCACTTTATTGTCAATATATAATCATAATCGTTGCAGTTTTGGGTGACGCATATTGGAGTGATATTGTTATCTCAGGAGAAAATGGAAGATTTACAAATAAGGAACGGTCTGAAGGTCTTCAGCGGTGCGCGGTGTAGGCGGGTTGACATCCAGGGGATCCGACAACCCTGAACGCAGCATAGAGTTCCAAGGCGAGAGCAAAGCAGCGGCATCAAGCTGCCAGCCGGACCGTATCGTCGCTCTCCTCCGCCGGACACAAAGGTGTAGAAAAACTCGCTATGATTGGCATATTACCAATGGGTCAGGCGCGGGCTTCCACAAATTAATCGCTCGTATTGAGTTTACTGTTTGGTGACGGCGGGTGTCATATCGGGAGGCGCGCGTTGCTAAAGTTAGCCTCGATGCTAGCAGTGTTGAATGTTTCTTAATGGGTTTGCGTTAGCATCGGTTAGCTCGCCGCTGTCAAGTCGGGCGAGCAAACGTTAGCACGCCGGCGAGCACCATTAGCACCTTATTGTGATGCCAGCTCATCTAACTTGTCGTTGTAAATGTATGCGTTTTTCTGTGTGTTTGTTTTTTTAAAGAGGTCAGGGGACATTTGACAGCTCCGTGCCCCAGAGGGGGTTGCTATGATGGAGACACCGGGGAGGATAGCAAATACACAGGACGCCTTGGACTTCACCGTGGAGAACGTTGAAAAGGTGAGTCTATTGACTGATCGTCATGTTGTATTGTGCATATGCATAACACCTGACAAGACATGCGTATGAGTGCCAGCACGAGAATCTAACCTTGTAGTTTGCATCTTTACGCTGTGCCCCTTGACAAACAGCGCAAACAGATACGTCTCTAAAATGAACTTGGCCCACTGGAACAGAATATTTGTATGGTTAAATAGTGCAGCAACCTATCGTGGTAACTACCTCTACACGGTGCTACTTCTTGACAAGAAGCACAAATAGTTTAATATCTAGTAACATGACAAGGTTTCCCCAAAATGACAGGCAGTCAAAATGCTGTTGAGGGGGACATTTTTGGTCAAAGTTTTTGTGATTTTGCCTTGAGAAAAAATCTGGTCAAAACATGTCTTCAAATTCGTGTAAAACAACATAATTTAATTGTTCTCAACTAATCTCACCCCGTTTCGTCTGCTACTTGAGGAACCCCTTCTCTGACTGGCTGACACATTTACCAGTCAATAATAGTGCTCAATCTTATTATACTGAATATATATTATACTCTTAATATATCAATTCTGTGATGCTGCCTGACGTTAAGTCGAGTGAGTTGCACAGATCTTTAAATTTTAAAGCAACAATAATGCCTGTTCATCCACCATTTTGGACATTGATTTAGGGTGTTGAACTGTGTGTGTCGTGTTGTGTTGCTGCCATAAATCTGCCTGCTGGGTGGCCACAGACGCTACTGAAGGGATGGTTGGGGGAGGATGGAGACAGGAAGGTGTGTGTGTCCGTGTGTGTGAGAGAGGGCAGGGTAATGTGCTGAAATGGAGGGGTGTGGAAGACGGGGGGTGCAAAGTGGACCAGAGGGGGAGGGGCATACATGGAGGATGGCGATGTCATTAAAGGCACAATGATGATACTGCTATTGTACTCCTTCATTTTAACATAATTTAGGACCTTTCCTGTTATTTTTGCAATTCAGACAGCACCCAAAGTAACCACTGTATACACAACTAATGTGTCAGAGGGATTCATTAGGAACGTTTTTATGTTCAAGTGATGAACATACGGTGAAGGCACCTGATGTGGGTGGTATGAACTATATGAGCCACATGCCTGTTTGATGCTGAGAGTCCATAAAATGACCGTTTTTACAGAATCCTGACCCGTGAAGGTGAGATATTATGGCAACTGTAAAGTGTTCTCCCACTACATAGCGTTTGAGTTATTATGGGTTTGAATTATTGCTGCGGCTAGCGAAAATCCGCAAGTAGGTGTCATCCCTGAAAATGGTTTGTAATCACTGAGAGATACAATATGGTGCCGGTGAAGCACTACTTTTGTCTAAATGAAAGTCCTCGTTATCCTTCAACGCATGACACTTCCTTGGAACCAAGATACCTTGAGGTGCTGGCAAAATCGAAATAAAGCTCCTCAACTTAATTCAACATATTTTCTTCATATCAATTTGTCACAAGATGGAGCCAAGATGCTGACAAAGCACTATTTTTGTCCCATGGACACACTTCAACTCTGTTAATGATGCTAAAAATCGTCCCTTGGCATCAAGATGCCACAAGATTGAGGCAAAGCTCGCCTCAACTCACTTCAACGTAGCTCATGGTATAAAGATGCCACAGAAAGTCACCGATGGTGGTTACACTAATGTGTGAGGTTTCACTGTGTACTTTCGGTGGGAAAAGAGAGCCACATTCGTGTTGCTGCTGTACTGTGATTATGTATCGCATTGATGGTTTCTATAATTGTGATCTATTAAGAGGTGCTTTAATTCGGGTAAGCCTCCACCGAAGGTCCTGCTTCCAAAAACCACAGCCCAACACTGAATGATGGATATTCAAACTCACTGAGTGAGTGTAGTGTGTCCCATTGTGATGGCGGGTTTGTGTGTGTGTTGTTGGATTTTTTTTTTGGGGGGGGGGGTTGTATACATGGCGATGGAGATGATGCCTCCTGGCTCAGCAGCCACACTTTTGTTCTTTCTTCGGTCGGACAGACAACGTTACACATTGTCCACACTCGCCAGCCACACAATGATGCAGCCTCTTAAAGCGAAAGACGAGGGCATCGCGCCACTTTGTTGTTAGCATGAGCATTTGGAGTCCACGCGCAGCAGAATCTCTGTCATCATGACTTGTTATGAAGCTAATTCCTTCATTTTTTTTTTTGCTGTGGGCTGGACTGAAAACATCTGACGTTAACATCAAAAGTTGTTTTTTGTCTTTGGTTTTCTGTTATTATTAATCATTTCTCTGCCTCTAATATTCAATTTCAACAATGCAGTTGTATGAAAAGATGTGAAAATATTGGGCTCTTATTACATTGCCAGTGAAAGCAGGCATTATTTTTATTTGATTGCTCGTCATTGATCGTTCGCGGCTGCCTCTTCGTGTTAGCTTGAGTCAGTTGGCACAGTTTAGTGCGGCTTTGGAACAAATAATTTTAGAGCAGATGGCGAGGCTGTGACCGATGGGACATTTTCTCACTCACGTCACTCCTCCGCCTCTTACGGCCGGTCTGTCGACAGCCCACTGTACTCAGGTGCAGCCAGGTGGCACAGGCGTTTTTTCCTCTTATCTGTAGCTAGATAGTGGTCAAAGTGAGGCGTAGCTCAGAGAATTAACGTCAAAATGCACTCAGGCTCACATTGCGTATGTCACATGGCCGAACACGGAAAACAGGTGAGCCCAAGGAGTCTTTGATGGCCATTACAGTTGACAGCAGAGGGTGGTGGAATGTAAAAATGCCTGCACACCTGCCCATCTAACTGTTCTTCACTTCTACGCAAATGTTCTTTGCCCGTCGTAATATCAATTAGGATGGGTGAAGATCCAGTGCCACTTTGAAGCAACAGCCAGACTAATAGAAACACTGCCAAGCCCCCCAGATGTGGTGCCCCTGCTACTACTGTATGTAAAAACTGGACTTTTCTATCTCACAATTAGTGCTGACTATAGTCAGAACTGTGGCCCTGGTCGTCATGGTAATGAAGTCCAGGTTCACCATTGGCCCAGAAGTATGTGAGACGGGGTATTTACAGTAGCTTGCTCAATTCTACCCTAAAAGCACCACCAAAAAAAAGTAACTTTTTGATCCTTGGCGTATTTTGAGGAAAGCATGTTGGGACTTGTTTATAAGACACCTGGGAACTCTTTTATGCACAATAAGTCTCCTTTAAATCTTGGAATGCGAGGTCTTAAGGTTTGGGAAATAAAGTGAGGCCTGTGAGCTGCACTAATGATCCCCTTGTACCGTGTTACTGCGTTTAACTCTAATAGCGCAATTAGCTGAATGGGAAGTCGAGCGGTGCTGACTCGCGAGAGCATCCTAATGCATATTTGTTTGTTCCAGTGAGGGAAGATTGCCAGAGCTGGTTTACACTTCATTTATCTCCTTTATTCTGCTTTTATATACAGCAAAAAAGAAAGCATGGCAGCATGACCAAAATTGGAAATGAAGTGAATGGAGAATGAGATACTACTGAATATTTGTTACCGCTTCAACTACATTCAAGCAGATCCAGTATGAATGTAAATATGAAAGCTCTCGCCGGCACGATTATTGCCCAGCCACACCTTTCAGTTGCCTTAGTATTGTGGCTGATGGATGGTTCCCTGTTGTAAAAACCACGATTTGATTGCAAATTTGTGCCTGTGTGCGTTCCTAAGCCATCATTCATCTCGACTGAGTTCTCTCACCCTCCTTGCTGCTCAGTACCACTCAGCAGCTGTACTTCAGAGCGCCGTTCTTTTTTTTTAGGTCACCGCTTTTGCTAATAGCGTAAAAAGTGTCCTGGGGCTTTTTTTGGGGTGGTGGTGGGGGTGGGGGGGGTGATATTAAACAATGTTGCTGTCGTATTATACTTTTATGCCAAGTGGACCTGGAGTCTAAGGCAAAATAAAAAGCACTTTCATGCAGTAAAATGGCCAGGAAGTGACACTGACGCACACGACATTCCGGAGCGATTACATCTTCTCTTTATTCTGGCATTTCGCAAATAGGAATAATTTTGGTAATCGTGGTTGACCTAAAACAGGAAAAGTTTGGTTTGATTTCATGTTAGACCGAGAAATAAAACCCCACATGCAAACTTCTGATTTCAACTGTAAACACTTCTGAGTGATTGTATGGAATATTAATTTGATGGAGTTGTATTCTCCTCTGTGTGTCTTTTCTGGCAGGCACTCCATCAACTGTACTATGATCCCAATATCGACAACAAGAATCTAGCTCAAAAGTGGCTTATGCAAGCCCAGGTGTCTCCTCAGGCCTGGCAGTTTTGCTGGGCTCTGCTCAGCCCAGACAAGGTAGAAAAATCACACGCTGTCACATATGCGGTCATAAAATTGAACAGTGTTCATCATGTCACTCCACAGGTGCCGGAGATCCAGTATTTCGGCGCCAGCGCGCTCCACACCAAAATCTCCCGCTACTGGTCGGACATCCCTAGCGACCAGTATGAGTCGCTGAAAAGCCAGCTGTTTTCGCAGATCGCCTGCTTCTCCTCAGGCGCCAAGATGGTGCTCACGCGGCTGTGCGTGGCGTTGGCGTCGCTGGCGCTCAACACCATGCCCGAGGCTTGGCCCGGCGCCGTGGCCGAGATGGTGCGGGTGTTCCAGGAGGAGGGCGGAGGCATTGACGGGCGGGCGCGTTGCCTGGCACTGCTGGAGCTCCTCACGGTCCTTCCAGAGGAGTTCCAGACCAGCCGGTTGCCGCAGTATAGAAAGGGACAGGTATGTCGGTGTGGTTGACTTCCATTCATCCATTTTCAATTGTGCTTGTCCACATGAGGGTTAATAGGGGGAGCTGGAGCCGACATCATAGACTGGTTGCCAGTCACAGGCAGGGCACATAAAGACAAATAAGCATTCACATCCAGATTCTGTGGACAGTTCACTGTACAGTCTTCAGTGGACCTAAGTTGACTTTTGTCAGGAGAAGTGAAAATCACATTGAACTGGTCACAGCCCACATGTTGGGTTAATAGGGGGAGCTGGAGCCGACATCATAGACAGGCAGGGCACATAAAGACAAATAAGCATTCATATCCAGATTCTGTGGACAGCTCACTGTACAGTCTTCAGTGGACATAAGTTGACTTTTGTCATGAGAAGTGAAAATCACATTGAACTGGTCATAGCCCACATGTCGACAAACAAAGCAACATTTCCTGCAATGGAAAATTCACAGTCTTCAATATACTTAAGTTGGTTTTTGAGTTTAACGTTTTTGCTTTTATTGTAATGTTTGCATTTCTTCTGATTATTTAACTCGGACCCCAGAAAGAATAGCAGACACTGCGGTGGAAGCTAAAGGGGACAATAAACAACAAAGTAATATAATAAACGAATCGTCAACCCCTACTGTGGATGTATATTTTTCTAGACAAAGAACTTTGGGGAGGTTCAACTTTGGAAGTTCAACTAAATAGAAAAGATGTTAGTACTACAATATAACAAATCCTAATTATTATTCTTCCCATCAGGTCCGGGGTGCCCTAGGCCGGGAGTGGGGCTCCGTGTGCCCGCTGCTGCAGCAACTGTTGCGCCGGACGGACAGCCCCGGCGCAGTGAAGGCCCGCGTGCTGCGCTGCCTGTCGTCCTGGGTGCTGCTGGATGTGCCGCTCAGCGAGAGCGAAGGCCTGGTGCACGACTGCTTTGTTGCCCTGTCCGACCCCGAGCTCTTCGACACCGCTGTGGAGGCGCTGGTCAATGCCATCTCACAGCCAGACTCCCAAAGGTGCGTGCCAATGTCTGGGCAAAGCCGAATGAGAAGTCGGGTACAAGGTGGCACGTATATTGTATATTGTGCATCACATACTGGCATGATAAAACACCTTTGGATGTGTATGTGGTGTTGAAGCAAAGGACTTGCGAGCTCCGGCGTTAACCAGCTCTGACCCTGTCAGCGTCATACTTCACAGGCAAGTAAAAAAATGTCCTATGACATCATGAGCGAGCTAAAAAGATGAAGTAGCCCTAAGATGGTTGGTCAACTGTCACGCATGGACTCCAAGAGAGTTTTAATTCGCAACGCTTACATTGCATGAACAACGAATGAAGGTTGATGTGAGTGCATCCACAATACCGCTTTGGAGTAACGTCTTCCATCAATAAGCATTTATGGTGCGCTGCTGGAGGAGCACGAATACTCATTTTTATATTCCACTACATTCCAATGTACAGTCCGTGGAAATTTGTTTTACTGCCAGATATTTTGAATGTTTTTTCCCCCCTCTTGGAAGTTGTGTTTTATTTCGTTTTAATCTTTAACCAGTTAGTTTTTAATTTTATAGTTTGTCAATTTGTTTTGTTTTTGAAATAGGTATAAAAAAAATCCAATATTATTGACAGACTGATATGAAGCACGTACATCGTGATTCGCCCCCTTCTTCTAAGCACATCATGTTTAAAAAAGAATTTGATTTCATCTTTCTGGGCCATACTTCCCATGATATAGCCAATTTAAGGCATGCTTTTCTCAGCAATGTTGTTCAAACTCAACATTTTACAATGTAGATTCCACTGTCAAGAGGCTGAAACTGCCCATGGGAATGATGGAAAAATTTGCCTTGGAGAACTGTGAGCGTTTTAACTCCATTAGGAGCAGCAGACAGGATGGGTGGGCGCTGGCTGGGCATAAAGGAGGAAGGAATGTGATGCAGGGGCATGTTGACAGCTAAAAGGAGGGAGGAGAGACGAGGGGGTGGAAGGAGAGCGCGGCACATCTTGGTTGGCTGGCGTTGCTATGGTTACAGTGCCGGGGCGAGATGTCATCGCGACCGGTCGATTCAGATGTGGCAAGCGCTCGTTACCCCTTCCCTCCAAAAGCAGGAAAGCGAGCGCGATGATGGAGGTGAGCGGAAAGGATGGTGGTTCTTACCTCTGCTTCACAGAATGAGCAGGATGTAGACGCTGACCTGTCACTTTTAATGTGATGAGTAATGTACTAGCTCTCGTTGCAAGCGTGCCTCAAGCTATTTTTACATCCACCATAAATCTATAGATTGATGTTTATTCTCTCGTCTATGTCCTCTTCCCGCACTCCCTGCCTCGGGATCTCTCCCTCTGTTTAAACTCATCACAATCAACTCATAGAGGGCACACGATTGGTCCAGCCGCATCCTGTTGCCAGGCAACCCTTTTCCCCCTGTCTCTGAGGTAATTGCGCAGGGGATCGCAACAGGGAGTAGTCGTGAAGTGTATAATTGAAGGGGAGCAAGGAGAGCACAATAGGACCCTCCGACCCCACCTAATGCTTCTTCTCAAAGTGGAAGTCAACACAAAAAAAAATATTTTTAATAATAGATTCTATGGAGCCCCACTAATCTAAACACGGCATTCTCATTAATATTGCATTTGAGGAATATGAATTAAGCAGTAAAATCCCCCGTTTTTTTTTCCATCTCCGGGGTGCGGCCATTTTTTTGATAGGACTTTTGACAGGACAGTTGGCCAAGCTTACATGGCCACCATATATTCCTTTGATGGGAAAGTCTCCCTTCCCAGCATGGTCGCCATGTAGGCGCGTATGTGAGCCTGCTGCAATCTACTGGAAGTCTGTGACAAGAGCGGCAAACCCGGAAACACATGGATCGGTCTATCGATTGCGCCACAGCGGCGTTGTCTCGGTTTAACTGCGAGCAATTCTGGAACTTACAGATTTTGAAAGCTGCTGTATAAAGTGTTGTTTTGAGGCGACTAAATACTATATTCTGTCTGAGAAATTCGCAGTCCGTAAGTCCTGTGTCTGTTGAGCCAAGGTTTCTACTGTATATCAAATCAAATGTTCCCAATATAAACGGATTGAAACCCCCCCCCCCTAAAAAAAAAAGAAAGAAAGAAAGAAAAGGCATGTGTCTTTATTGGACATGACCCACAACTTCACAGCCAGCGCTGGTTAAAAATGAATGCGCCGTTAAGTGCTACTCGCAGAGTTGCTCGTTTAGATTTAAGTGCAATCAGTCCGCCGGCAAGACACACAAGCAGGTAAAATGATGTCCGTGTGTGTGTGTGTGTGTGTGTGTGTGTGTGTGTGTGTGTGTGTGTGTGACCATTTTTAATATTTATTTTGTGGGGTTTTCGCAAATCCACTTCGTCTGTGACATTTCGGACACACACACACACACTCTTGATCTTTAAATGTCACGCTATCGCATGATCGCATTAAAGATGACATTGTCTCATAATGTCGTGTTAGCCAATCCGAATGAGTGAGCTGTGTGTGAATGTGTTTTAGTGGAGTGAGGAAGATCTAGACGAAAAGTAAGATAATATACTGGCGCATAGCAGTTTTTCCTCTGAGTAATAGGTTTGATTTTAGTCTTGTGTAGGTGTTAACTCGTGGGTGTGTTGAATCAGGTGGAAAAAAATAACTCTTGACACCAAGGAGGGACTAGTTTCCATTTTCACAGATCAAAAAAAAAAAATGCCAGTTTCACCAATCGACCAAATAGAACAGGAAATCTGCAATTTTGTTTTAAAATGGTTCGTTGGCAATAGGAAAAAAAAATGCTCCCAAAAATCAATTTCACCAATCGGCACAAAATTGATTGCACCTTTTTATCATAACAGAATGCACAAAAAAGTCTCAAGGGCCCGTTAGTTAATGGTTATTTTTGGCGAATTCCAGGGCTTGTACTCTGATGAACTTGTAGAGAATTAACAAAGGTGTGCTTTGACTGCAAGCAGGTATCCTAGACAAGTTGCTAACTCTATTGTTTGTATTTGCTGGTGTGTGTCGTACAGGTACGTGAACACGTTGCTGAAGCTAGTCCCTCCAGTGCTGGCTCTCCAGGACCAGCTCAGAGAGGCCGTCCAGAGCGGCGACATGGAGACTTGTCACGGCATTTGCCGCGTTGCTGTTACGTTGGGAGAGAACCACTCCAGGTTGGTTTGGTATTTGTCTCTGAACAAGATATATACACTTGGACTTAAACCGCTCAGAAATTGTCATTGTCTAAATTAGCTTTGAATGAGGCCAAAAGAATCCCTTCAGTCAAACTGACAAATTGGCAAATAATTTTTACCTAAACAGTGCACCAACCATATGACAATGTACAGATTCCAACATGTAAGAATTCCAGTAATAGCCAACAAAATTTAAAAAAGCACCTTGCAAGCACCATCCTGTTTTCTAATCTGCATCCGGCAGGTGTTGTTGGCATGGTTTTGCTTCAGTTTCATTTACTTTAATCATACAGTGGTTTATTACCGGTAGTTGATATTGAATGATGGTGCTAGTTTGCTAGCATTCATGCTAACTACACTACAATGGAGCAAATAAATAATGCAAATGTGAAGAAGTGGAGATACCCTCTGCTGACCATGGGGGAAAACTTACATTTTTAAATTTGAGATGTGGAACGACCATTTACTGCTGACAACTGAAAGTTTATACAAAAAAAAAAAAAGGTTATACTACAACTTGCGTAGTTTGAAGACACCAAAATATTGTTGTTGTGTTTCAAAAATAAAAATGACAAGAGCTGATGTCAGTAAAAAAAAATTCAGTATAAACAAAAAAGAAATAGAAAACAAAACATTTTAAAATGCAGACTATGAGCTAACTGGAAGGAGAGTCAAATCAGCAAGGCCTGAAGTTTAAATCATGTATTTTTCGTCAAATACATATCAGCTGCATCCATCATTCTTCCACTTTCTCTCGTTTTAGGATTCTGCTGGAGCAGGTGGATCACTGGCAGAGCTTCCTTGCTTTAGTCAACATGATCATGTTTTGCACAGGCATCCCCGGCCACTACCCAGTTAACGAGACCACCAGCTCGCTCACACTGACCTTCTGGTACACGCTACAAGTAAGGCCTCACGTGGACTGTCTGCTATTACTGTATATGTCACACTTCTTAAGATTGTGTTTTATTGTCTTCCAGGATGAAATCATGTCATTTGAGACAAACAAGCAAGCAGTGTACCTGCAAGTGTACAGGCCAGTGTATTTCCAGCTTGTGGACGTTTTGCTCCACAAAGCCCAGTTCCCTTCGGACCAAGAGTACGCATCATGGACCTCGGATGAAAAAGAGCAGTTCCGTATCTACAGGTCTGTGGCTTTGTTGGGCACTTGGAACTTTTTTTTTTCTTTTTTAATTGAAAGAGACTTAATATAGAGTGTATCTCCTTCAGGGTGGACATCTCTGACACGCTCATGTATGTCTACGAGATGCTGGGTGCTGAGCTGCTGAGTAATCTCTATGACAAACTGGGTCGACTCTTGACAAATACAGAGCAGCCCACGTCGTGGCAGGTGGGTGGGATGCTGTGTTGCCGAGATGACGTTTCGAAAAATGTTTCACTGTAGATTTCGTCATCGTGCGGTGGAGCACAAACCCCAAACTCGAACACAAATCGTTTCTTCATCCCTTTTCGCTTGTGGGGGCCTGCAGTCATGATGTAGACCCAATTTTGTGTCTTTGGGTGGAAGGTAGCACATTTTTTTCTTGACACAATTTTCATGTTGTGGCGTGGCATTTTCAGTTGTGCGGGCAGCACTTCATACTCTACAATTCATCCAATGCAATGGACCTGTTACCCCCACTGCATCGAAAATTTCACCGAGCAATCAATTAAGTATCAGAAGCATTTGTAGAAGAATTTGACAACATCTTGACTTGGTTGTTTAATTTTATGCTTGATGCGTGTGTAGGCATTCCAGTGATCCGTATAAAGTACATATGATTTAAAGTTAAAAAAAAAAAAATGAGTAGCTTATTCTGCTGTCACTGTTAAAAATACACAAACACAGTGATTATTCCTCCTCCAGCACACAGAGGCTTTGCTGTACGGTTTCCAGTCCATTGCGGAGACGATAGACGTCAATTACTCTGACGTCATTCCGGGCCTCATAGGCCTCATCCCCAGAATCAGCATCAACAACGTTCAGCTGGCTGACACAGTGATGTTCACTATTGGTGAGACTTTTACCATCACGTTCCTCAAAGACAATTTTGCTTCTCTTCTGTTAAGGTGTCATGAGCAGGCTGGACAGTTAAATTTTTAAATATGAGTCATGGTGAGGAAAAATTGGACGGGGGAGAAAAAGGCTCCTATTCGTCCCTTTCTCGGTATGCATGTACCCTGCTTTACTGTAAATCCATCTATTAGGTGCTCTGGCTGAGTGGTTGGCAGACCACCCGGTGATGCTGAGTAGCGTCCTGCCCCTGGTCCTACAGGCTCTGGGTAACCCGGACCTTTCCATCTCATCCGTTTCTACACTAAAGAAGATCTGCCGCGAGTGCAAAAGTGACCTGCCGCCTTATGCCACCAACATAGTAGCCGTATCTCAGGTACTTTTGTTTTATTTGTTTTATCCGTCATGGTTCATTGTGCGTGTAGTAACTTTTCTCTCTCTCTCTCTTTCTTTTTTTTTTTTAAACACAGGAGGTTCTAATAAAGCAGATCCACAAGGTCAGTGTATGGTCTCGCTCTTTTTAATTCAATTCATTCAGTTCAATTCAATTCATGGTTCGTTGCAGATATGCCATGAATTATGCCACATATTTTAACATCTGACACATCAAAAAAAAAAAAATCCACAAAAAGTAAATATATAGGTCAATTTTGTACCTTCTGCATCAAAAGGAAAAGTATATAATTTTTCTGCCCGCTATGATACGTTACTGATATTGGCAGATAAAGTTTCAAATTATTTGCACACTCTTGTTCCACAAACAAACCAAGTGAAATTGGATAATTTCCTTGTCACACTTGAGGATCTCCAGCTCTAGTGTGCCCGAATGCATTGTTTGGGGCTCAGTGAATTAAGACTTAATAATTATTATAAATGACTTTGTAAAGTAGCATAATGTAAGAACCACTTCTGCCAGACCTCTTCTATCAATATAACATTTTAAAAAGGGGTGTAATTTGGGCAAGGAACTTTCAAATATGTTTTGTATGTCACAGACCAAAAAAATAAAATAAATAGGAAAACAAAAATTAAATTAGAATTGGGCACTGAGACCTGCAGGCCAGCCGGTGTTACCAAAATATGCTTGAAAGCTGAAAGATCATTTTTGTGTTCTTCTTTTTCACAGATCTGATTTGCTGGTGTGGTTGTCTGACCATATTTTATGCTGATTTAAAACTGTGCTTTTTTTTTTTTTTAAACTCATGTAGTCCTTTGTTTTTCTAGACGAGTCAGTGCATGTGGCTGATGCAGGCATTGGGCTTCCTCCTTTCTGCGCTACCCGTGGAGGACATTCTGAGGAATCTTCACTCTCTAATCACGCCTTACATTCAGCAACTGGAGAAGCTGGCGGAGGAGACGGTGCGTGGACCAAAACCCCTGCGCGCACATTTACACACACACACACACACACACACACACACACACACGTATGTATGTGTGTATGTATGTATGTAAAAAGCCGGCAATTGAGCAGCCCATTGTTGCAATGCCCAAGCTCCACGACAAAACAAGGCCATTTTTAATACCCGCTTTGAAGTAGTCTGTATTTGGAGACCTGTGCGGCACACAGGAGACGTTTTCCTTCTACTGATTAACAACCACGTAACAGAGTTTCCGCCGATGGTTGCGGGGCGCCACCAGACGTGAGCCAAGATGAATCTTTTCCTTCATCTTTGTTCCCGGCCTACACGCAGAGTAACACACTACCTCATCGATCCTCGCTGCCTCCCAAGCGTTGTTTACTGTCTCGCATTTGCTTCGTCAGCATGACATCAGACTGGCAAATCGCCTCGTACGCCCGTCGCTAGACAAATAGTGGCTCCTAGCGGGCAGACCATCAACCCCTCAGAGTCTGCGTTGAATATTAAAATAAAGCATGGCCATTTATACGACGTCACATCACCATGGAAACAGCAGCAACCAACATTCTGAATGTAAGTCATTAAGTGAATGAGATCTGGCTGGACATGCATTCCTGAAGAAATAGCCTGCAAAACAACTGATCTTATTGCATTATACTCATGAACAGGTGCTGCTAATATGACGTACATACAGAATGTTCACCGCTTAGCTGTTGCTGTGCTCACGTGGGTTCATTAAGATGAATGCAAGTCATGCCAAATAATCAAATTAAGCAGGGACTCCTTCGTCATGAACCGGACGGGTTTATGAACTCAACTGCAGAGATGTATTTTGGGGTAAAGAAGTTATTTGTATGCATTACATTTTTGTAATGGTTGTGAAAATGCAATCGGAATTTGTTTTTTGGAATTTTCTTCATCGCGTGTGTATCGCGATGACAATGTATGTATTTTTGGAGTATGCAACATGACCCCCCCGAAACAGTGGCAAATTGTGTAAATTCAAAATCCAAATTCTCAAAGGATTGCTCACAACCAGAAATAGTCAACTGACAAAAGATTTACTTAGTAGTTTTATTTTACGCTTGTTAGTGGGCATGCACTCCAGACAACCAACTACTGGTGTTTGTATACAAACCATTAAAATGTCAATTTTCATTGATACCGTTGGTCCAATTTAAGATGCTCCACTCCAGTGTACATTGCACGATTGATTTCTTTTGCTGGTTTTATTGTTTCTTCACTTTCTCGTTTCAGCCTAATCCGTCCAATAAATTAGCCATCATCCACATCTTGGGGCTGCTGTCCAACTTGTTCACCACGCTTGACATCAGCAAACAGGATGAAGAATCGGAGGACGGATCGGCTGCGCCTGTCAAAACGGCCCCTCCCCCACCGGGACCCAACCCGGTCAGTGCTTCCCCCACCACCATTCCCTGCCCGCGTTACGTGTAATATGAGTGAGAAAAATGAGTGTCGTATTGAGTGCGGACATGTGGTGGTGATGTACTTCCACAGCTGGAGGAAAACCGTAGCCTCTTTTCACATACGGTGAACTCCCCAAATTGTCACTTAAGAGACTGGAGGATATGAAGCAAATAAAATAACATGAAAAATTCACACATTAGATATTTTGAGCTGCAAATGAACATTTAATAATAAAAAAAAGAAAAAAGAAAAAAAAAAGATTATCTCGCAGCTGCTGAAATTTGTAGTCTTGTTTAAAATGGGAAAAATTGCCCAAAAGAAGATCAAATTTAAACCAGAAAATGTCAGAAAACCAGCTCCCATATTTTGGTATTATTTTTTTTCCGTTTTTGTTTCTGACACCGAAAAGATTGCGGTACTTTTGTGTGCCAACAGGTGGTGGTTGTCCTGCAGCAAGTGTTTGCCCTCATCCAGACCGTACTGGGCAAGTGGCTGAACGACTCGCAGGTGGTCGAGGTGCGTCACCTACGCCGTCCTCCCCCCCCCACGCTGGAGTTTGGTGACATTGTTTCCACTTATGTCGGCTCACAAGTGGGTTGCATGGATTCCACGTGTGCTCCTCAGGCGGTGTGCGCCATCTTTGAGAAGTCGGTCAAGACGCTGCTGCACAACTTTGCCCCCATGGTTTCGCAGCTGAGCCAAATGCTGGGACAGATGTACAGCACCATCCCCCAAGCCTCGGCCCTCGACCTCACACGACAGGTAGGCTTCTGTTTTCTGTGCTCCTGGTTTTCTTGATGGTCTTGGTTGACTTGAAAACCCTACTTTGAAACTTCAACTTAAAAGCATGACTTGAAATCTGAAACTTTATTTTAAAAAATAATAATTTGAGATCCTGACTTGGAAAACCAGCTTGGAAACCTTAAACCTGACTTGAAACCCTATTTTAAAATTGTAATCCTGACCTGAATCGCTACCATATTACCTTAAGCTTGACTTGAAAACCCTACTTTGAAGACTTAACGTCTTTCCTCACCGTGCCTTGAAACCCTGACTCAAAACATAAATTTGAAATCCTAACCCCCGCTGTATTTTAAAACCCTGACTTGAAAACCTAATTTGAAACCCTAACACTATTGAAACCCTAACTCTGACGTCAAACCCTTTGACCTTTCAGTCCCCACACTTTACACCCCTAAAACACACGCGCGCGCGCACACACACACACACAAAAACACCTTTGACTTGTTTTCTTATGTTGTTCTTTGACGATGAGGCAGTACATGGGTTGCCACGGCAACACTGCCAAGGAGTCTAGCACGTGTGTTCGTTTCTAAAAATAGCCCAATGACTTTGACTACAGTCTTTAAAGATTCTCAACACAGGTTCATGGGAGGTCTGAATGCGTTGCTTTTTTTTTTTTTTTTCTCTCTCAGCTGGTCCACATCTTCGCCAGCCAGACGGAGCATTTCCCTCCCATCAAGGCTCTGTTTGAGCTTGTTACCTCTGTAACGCTGTCCATCTTCCAGCAAGGTAGGACTTGGTAACACTGTAAAATGCACCCCCGGCGGTAGATCTTTGAATGTGTTTGTTGCCTTCCGTTTCACACGGTCCAAAAGTAGCAAACAAAACAACAACAAAACTTAGCGGAACTGCATTTTGCCTATTTTGTGTAAGTCACGCTTTCTGACAATACTGATGTGACTGCATTTTGAAAGCTAAGCCGACTCGGGACATGGAAAAACATCACTGTTCAAATGTTTCATACTTGGATGTTCTGTGTCAAGTTGTTGAAATATTCAGCACATTCGCCAGAAATGACACTTGCTACGCTCGCACAAGATAATGAGCCAACGCATCAGCTATAGTGGAAAATTCTGCCTTCATGAAGCTTTTGATAGACTCAGTTTTTCATGATAGGCGCTCACTAAACCATATCATTTAAAATTTGAACTTCATTTTTTCGTTGGATTTCTTTTTTTGCGAAAATAAATTTATTTGAGGAAAAAAGTTACATTTTTAAGTTTGATTGATCTTTTTTCTTTTTAAGTTGTGAACTTTCAACCACGTTGTATATTTATTTACATATGACAACTCTAAAATCATTAACAGAAAAGTGGAATTATTTTGGGTAAAAAAAACATTTAAAAAAATCTCAACAAGGGAAAAAAAAATCATACAAGAGTAAATTGCATTTGGGTGGATTTTTCTTTTCCCTTCTCAGGAAAATAGATTGTAAAATACTTTTTAGGCACAAATAAAAAATCCACCCTCCCCCCCCTCCCAAGTATCGATTCCTGCCTATTGGTTTCCCTCATGAGGACAATCATGATTTAAAATGGTTAGAGGGTTAAATAAATATATTCAGAGTAACGATTAAATTAATGCAATAATTATTCAAGGAGTGTTGATGAGCAATGAAATCGCTAACATTCAAATCAAATGTTACTTAATTTTTTTTTTTTAATCTTTGTAAATGCTGATACAAATGATTTAATTAGTGTGAACGTGTACCCAATGTGATGTCAAATGTATTATTCCAGTGTAGCCCGGAAATGCATTTTTGGGAATTGGGCATTCAGGCCAGACATTGAACATGGAGGGGAAAAAAAAAACAACCCACATTGTCGTCTGCCTCTCCTGCTTCCTTTTATGTTGCCTCCTTCCTCCGACCCCCCCACTTCCACCACTGTTTCCTGCCTCTCTGCTTTTGATTGCATCCGTAATGGCTGCCTCACTCCCTTGAATCTTGTCCTTTCCAAGCAGGTGCTTTCTTCAGTAAGATGCGATACTGTATGTTCACAACACGGAGAGCGCTCGCTTATTCACATGGCTGGCATGTTAACGTAGCATACGGCACTACTAGAGCTGCGTGGGGGGCCCTCTGAATAAGCTCTGTGTTCCTTATGTTTGTGTGTGCGTGTGTGTGTGCATGTGTGTGTGTGTGTGTGTGCGTGTGTGTGAGTGTGAGTGTATAAGTGCAAAAGTGTGCGAGTGAGTGCGTGCTTGCACAAGTGTGTGAATGTGAGTGCGTGCAAGTTAATGAGTGTGTAAGTATGCGTAAGCGTGCGTGTTAACGACTGATTGTGCGTGTGAGAGTAAGCGTGCGTATGTGCGTGCACATGTTTGTGTGTGTCTCTGAATGTCGAGCTGCAGGGGAGTCTTGGTTTGGTTTGAGCCGAAAACGTGTTTGGAGTGTGGGAAAAAGCTGGGCGCTCACTACAGACGTTGGTCGTGGCAACATCAATTGTGACCCATCAGTGTCAGGCCATTGGACGGCTTGTTCGCTGAAAGCGTATCTTCAAATGTCCCATCATTGTTTTTGTTTTGATATATTTGTAATTGGTACTCTCATTTGAAAAGAGATGTCGCGTGGTCTGTGTCCAGCAGTATGAGGGAGGCGGGGCTATCTGAACCTTAGCCGACCGATGATTTCACACTGAGGGTTCATCTTTGGAGCAAAGGGGGATCTGGCGAGCGGGCTTCCAACGGACCCTTCACGTCGACGCCTTCTCGCTGAAACACAAGCTTAATTTATTCCGAGATCCTCGGATGGTACATCTCGAATGTGTCCGCCTGTGCGAAACATTTCAAGCTACAAACAGGCTCACGGAACCAGATACAATGTCAGTTTGTAGCTTGGGGTTCCATTGTACCTGCGCTGTTAAGGGGGCGTCAAAATTTGGGGGTCGAATTAACACTCTCCTGACCTGTACTTTAGCAACAAAAAAGAAGAAAAACTGAAAAAAAAAATCATTCTTCAGCGACATTATCCTCATCACTGTGTTTACGATGAGGACGCTTTATGACAATATTAACTCACTGACATTCCCTATTGGTAATTATACAGATCAGCAATATGGGCAAAAGTTAAAAAAAAAAAAAAACATCTTGGCTTGACAGAAAATGTATCAAGGCCTTCATGGACTACCTCCAAAGTCAGATTATTGCCGGGTAAAGTTTGCGCTCATGATCTGTCTGGTGTTTCAAGGTGAGGAGGTAAGCCAACGGCAAATTGGTCCCCCTTTCCTCCAAAGCGTCACAGTAACAGAGGTGCCTCCTGGGTTCCCACTCCAAAGCCACTTTTCTTTCTTAGGTTTCTTCTGTTTCTCTCTTTGTTACTTCTTTCTTTGTTATTGTCAAAAAACAGACCCCATGTCTTTCGTCTCCTGCCTCTTCTTTTCTTTCCTTCTCCCTCCAAGAGTCCGCCAGCGCTCACACGCCACCTCCAACCCCTCCCAAAATGCCTCCTCCCCCCTCCCCCTCCCTACCTTCCCCCTCTTTGTTCCTTACTCACATGTGAATTATTTCAATGAACTACTTTTGAGTTCTCTTTTGAGTTCCACATGACTGTTGAATTGGTTCCGTTGCTGTTTGTATATTATTCTTATTCTCTTTTGATTTCTTAAGTTTCATCTTTATTATATTTTAGGACCCAGGGATCATCCTGATATTGTTGATTCATTTATGCAACTCCAAGCTCAGGTGTGTTTTTGGTTCCTTATTTCACTCACTTTGGGTTTCTCTCTTCCTCTTTTTTCTAATTCCTCCTTTTCTCTCTGTCCTCTTCCTCTCCTCCTCTCGTCTCGCTTCACAGACCTTTAAAATGTCCCGTCGCATACAGCGAGGCTTTGGAATGACTTTTCTCCTCAAACGCTCAGCATTGTAACAGTCACCTTGCCACCTAAACGCATGAATCACGGCCATTTTAGGGATTTTTTTTTTTTTGGGGGGGTGGGGTAGAGTGGTACCTTCACTTGAGTTTAATTTCTTCAGTGATTTTGAGGGAGAGAAATGCCAGCACGGTGGAAGTCAGTCAAATTTAGGCACCACACACTCATACGGCTGACATATATCATTTGTAAGAACAGAGCACATGTGCAACGATTAATCAACAACTAATCGGTTAGCGAATTAATCGAGAATTATTTCGAAGATCGATTAATCCTTTGTTTACTCTAAACTTGTCCAAATCCCTGAAAATTCATCCTCTCTCCAGTACATATTCTCAGTTTTCTCCATGAAAGCCGATGTATTACCTTTGTGTTTTATTAAAAGAAAACATTTTTGTGAACATCCGCTTTTACTTTGGGAGACACTGATCAACACTTTTGCCTTTGCCTATGGAAACTGGGAACTGAATCTTAATTAATGTTTGCACATTTTCTGCACTCTCGATTTGGAATCATCAAAATAAAAAATAGGGATAGAAATTAAAACTTATTTTTAAATCCAATTCATCGGCAAAATGATAATCACTTATTAAAATAACACTAATCAACAGATTTTTACAAAATGTTTTATTCTAAGAGATGCAAGTCTGAATTTTTTGCACAGATTCCAAATCTCTCAAAAGCAAACATTCGCCTCAAAGTCACCGTTTTGCTTTTTTTTTTTGTTCTCTGCTTTTTGGTCAGAAACCAGTAGTTTTGGTCACACTACGAAAGAACCGAAAGGAGTAGAAACAAACACATTTTTCTGCTGAAAGAAGAGTCTACTCTGTAATATTCTGTGGGCCTTCAGATTAGTCAAAATGTTCCAAAACAGCATTACGGGGAACTCGGCTTTGAAAACAGCTGGCAGTTTGTAGGGTTTTTTTTTTCTGCCCCCCTCCCCAAACCCCCAAGTGCATTCATAGACAAGCATTTGCACTCAGATTCAGATGGGCAATTTAGCGCGTTCAGTGAATTGCACAATTCATGTTGTGTGATGTGGCTGGAGAAAAGCCATGCAGGCGCAAACGGCATCCAAAAAAAGCTGTAGCCCAAACTAATAAAGCGTCAACGCATTTCAAGATTTCAAGTCAATGATTTAGTCGCAGCGGTTGCCTCAAATTTTCATCATGCCGGTCTCCAAGGTGACTGCTTCGTGTCTGAGCGCTCCCCTCTCCTCTCAAGTCATTCCAGCCCACAGCCAATCGGAGCCCCCAAAGAATTAATATTCAACTTTAATATTAATCACTTCAGACAAATTGGCTGATGGATTGTCTGTTTTACTCAAATAATGATTTCTTTTGGTTTTGTTGTCTTCATTCCTCTCCCTTTTGTTTTCTATCTTTGGATGGATAGATCGATGTGAACTCCATCTTTTCTCCTCTCCCTCTCTCCTCTCCTCCATCCTGAATTAGTTGTTTATGAGATGAGTTGTATTTCTCTTTATCTGCACATGTTGATTACCTGCACACTTTTGTTGCGTATTCAACCAAAAACACACGCATGGAAAAAAAAACCAAAACAAAAAAAAAAAAAACAGTTACGTTTTCAAGTATCCGCCCAAAACGACCATTGCCTTTTAGTTTTGACTTCAGTTTCCAGATATTATTTCAAAACGTTTGGTTGCAATTTGTTTGCTCTCCCTGTGGAGTTGTGCATCAGAGCATCTCTCTCGGAGTTTTTGGATAGTCAAGCAAGCACTGCGGCCTGGTAGGCAGATCTGTTCTCAAGTCTCATGTTGCTGTCAGGTCTGACTACCAGGCAGGTAGGATAAAGGAGTATTTGTCACTGCGTGGTCTCAACAAAACCCACACGACGCTTTTGTTTGCCTCATAGGCTCTCAAACGGAAGCCCGATTTGTACTTGTCTGAGAGTCTCGACGTAAAAGCCGTGTACCACTGTGGTAAGTTTCTGCTTCGACGCCACGTTTCCACCAAGCTATGCGGGTCGAGCGTTGGTTTGAAGGCGGTTTTCAGAAGATCACCGTTTGGTTCAAATTGGGTTTGAGGTCATCAATGGAAATGGTCCAATTTCACTCAATTGGTTGGAAAATACTGTATATGCCACTGATTAATTAATCGTGACAGGCAGAACAATTAAATACTTGTCCAGCAGAGGGCAGAAGATATGTAATTAACCCGTTGCCATTCAGACAACAGAATAAGTCAAGGCACTCACATGATTACATTTCTGAGGAAATTGAGAAAAGATCATTTAAAATGTCCCTTTTTTTATCTCGCAAATGTCCAACTTTACGATGTATGATTTTTTTTTTTCTTCTTAATAGTACAATTTTTTATTTCAATCAGATTTTTTTTTAATCGATACAATTTTTTTAATATAACAAATATGCTACTAAATTCTCGTAATATCGATTTTAGTTTGATTTTGACAAGAAAATATGCACATTATTTTTCTCAAAGATATCAGATTGGCAAAAAGTATACAACTTTTTATCTCAAATATACTTTTTTCTCGAACATTTACAATTTATTCATGCAAGATTACAAATTTATATCTAGATTTTCCTCTGGAAAGTATACATCTTTTTGACTTGCTATACAACTTTCCAGCTCAATACAACATTTTTAAAATCTAAAATATATTCTCATATTATGACTGAATCTTTTTTTTTTTTTTTTTTTTTTTTTTGAAATGTCTAAAACTTTGTTCTGGTAAAACTATAACAAATCTTGAAAATTTACGGCTTTTTGTCTCAAAAATATTTTACTCTTTAGCTAAATATGAACGTTTATTCTTGTTAGATTAGGATTTTAATCTTTTTTGTCTGGAAAATGGTAAAAATTACCAGTCTGACTTTTTATCTGAAACTTTAAACATTTTGTGTTAAATGGGTTATTTTCATCATTTTATTTTATATTCACATTTCATCTAAAAAATTTGGAACTTTATTCTCATAAAATAAACAAATATGTCAAAAATCTGACTTTTTTTTTCACTTATTTTTACAGAAGAAATGTATAACTTTTCCCCTGAAATGTCACCATATATTCTTTTAAGATTACAGCTTTTTATTATTTAGATTTTTTTTTCCTTACGGCCATCCCAAAAAATAAACCTCGTACATACCAAACTGTATTACTTGGTGGAAACAGGACTTTTATTGGCACGGAAACCTACTTTCAAACTCTTGTTCCCAGTAACTATAAAATGTGGACACCACTGCGATTGTACCGTTTCTTTCCCACTCGCAGGACTGCTATCGCTTAAGTTTCCCGAGGCTCCGACCGTCAAGTCGACATGTCTCTTCTTTGTGAGTGCACACGTTGTGAGCGCTTGCTTGCGTGCGATGATGGTGATGGAAACGTGTTGCTGATTGTGCTGTGTCCGTTTCAGACTGAGCTGTTGCCCCGCTGTTTAGACGTGCCCCCGGTGGCCAGGCTACTGCAAGAGGATGGCAAGCTATTGATCCAGGCCCTTTTGGAGGTGTGGAATGCTCCCAATATCGATTTTTTTTTTTTAAGTCATCATTTTGCTCAAAAAGATCATAATAACAACTTGTCAGGTGTTAAGTCTTTTATGATAATAACGGACCTGAAATGGTGAGATGCTTTCTGTATTTTTATTTGATCCCTCTTCCAGGGTGTCGGCGGCGGGGCGTCTCGGAACCTGATGGACCATTTTGCGGAGGTGCTGTTCAGTCTGAACAAGCATTGCTTCTCGCTGCTGGCCATGTGGCTAAAAGTGGCGCTGCAACCGCCAGGCTTCCCGTCATCGCGAGTCACGTCGCAGCAGAAGGACCATTTCTCCCAGCAGATACTCAGGTAGCACCACGGGCTACTTTGTACGATGTAAGCTTCTTAAATATAGCAGAACAATTTGAAGTTCAACATCATCCGAAACGGAATAGTCTTCCAAACAATTTTTCCCATAGGAAATCATATAAAGTGAATATATGTGTCAAGTCAGGATTATGGTTTCAAATTAGAGGTTTGAAATTATGGTTTCGGGTGAGGGCTTGGCTGACCGGACCATTTCCATTGTATGCTTGAACCATTTCCTGGGTAATTTTTCACGTAGAGAGCGAGTGAACAAGCGGCGGGTGAAGGAAATCGTCAAGGAGTTTACATTGCTTTGCCGAGGCCTCCACGGCACCGAGTACGCCGCTGAGTACTGAGCACCGACGTCGGAGGGGGAAAAGCAAAACCCCAGCAGGTGACACAGCCGGCAAGCAACCTGTGATGGGCGGGACAAGACGTGGAACTCCTTTTAATGGACAAACACCCTTGTGGCTTTTAGGGAGGTTCTCCCCCCCCCTCCCCCCTCCTTCAGCTTCCCAGCATGCTGCCTCGTGTCCCCTCCAACTTCCTTTCACTGCAAGATCCCTCAAAATGGAAAAAAAATAATCCATTTGGAGGTTGTGGGGGTCTCGTTCAGCCTTCTCTCGATCTTCCCGTGGTTTCCTGGTGATTATCCATGTGAAATGAAAATGGTATCGTAACGTAGCAACTAGACGTACTCATTCAGGATGACTTATACATAAATATACGTATATAATAGATATATATTTATATCGAGAGAGGAAGTCGTGCTGCTACTGGGGAGGAACTGGTGAAAATGTCATGGGGGGGGATTCAGAATCACCCGGTGTTACCCGCTCTTGCCAAATGATCAAGTCGTGTGAGTATGTTCCACAATAGAATGTGTTTGAAACTAAAGGACGAGCCAGGAACTCTGGGGGAGGGGGGGAACGAGGTGGGGCCTGGGGTGGGGAAGCTACGAGAGCCTGATGAATCATCATTTGTTATTTCTTCGCTTAATAAAGCTCTCGGAGGATAACAAGTTGTCCCTAAAGTCTGGACACGGGCAAGATAAAAAAAAGTGTTTGGTGGACACGTTGTCCTGTCCGCCAAGTTCTGAGATTCAGGCCTTGAATCTGGGCTCAAGCCTTATGTGTGAAATGTTGCATGTCTTCCGACTGCCTCCCACATGCCAAAAACGTGTGTCAGGTTTATTCAAGACTCAAAATCGTCAATGTCGTGATTGCTTTCTTTTATCGATCTGTACCCTGCCGTTTATTGGCGACCAATCCAGGGTGGAACCCGCCTCACTCATCAAAAGGTCCTTTAGGTCAATTGAAGACTTAATTGTCCATAACTGTGCGTGTGAAAAATAAGTTGATGAATTAAAATTCTATCCAATTGAAATAACATTTCCAACAATGATGCAATCCAATAATGCCACATTCAAGCTGTCAGCGGCCCGTATGTCCAGATTTTAGGGCTATCATGGACAACGGTTTCCCCACCCCTGTACCGGTCATAAAAATAATCAAAATTGTGCATATTATTAGTCATTTCTGCTCCGTATTTTGAGTGTGCGTGTTCATAGCTGCATCTTTAGCGCCCCCATCCACCGCACTTATATTGGACCTAAAAGTACATCAACATAACCTCCTCATCTTTTACTCCACTAAAAAAAAAAAGAAAGAAAGACACTTCTTCAAGTCTCACATCTTCTCACCAGACCATCATGGAACAGACGCCCCAAAAATCGGGAGCGGTCGCCTCAACGGAGGATCCAACGGGATTAGAGGGTGAAAATACCGACAAAGGGGACCATCACCATCATCATCATCATCATCATCAGCATTCAAATGTATCTACTCCCATGCACACTCTAATCCTGCTGTTTTATCCGAGGTGCCTGCAGACATGTAGCATGTGTTTGTGTTTAGTAAGGGAAGGTACGGAGGCTTTTGAGACTATTGACCTCTTCTGGATTTGGGAAGTCTAAGGAGTTTGGATTTGAACAGTGACAGACTGGATGGACATATGTGTGAGGGGAAAGAAGTTAAAAGATGATGGTGGAGAATCAAGGGGAGTGTTTGAAATGTACATTGTTTTTTTGTACCTTGGCTTTAATTTATTAAATATATCTAAGACTGCAGCTCACTCCTGATTTAATGTTTTCTAAAAGTACAATATTACAAAGTGAGGCCCGGTGGTCCAGTGGTTAACGTGTCGACCTCACAGAGCAGAGGTTGTGGGTTCAATCCCGGCTCCGGCCTTCCCGTGTGGAGTTTCCATGTTCTCTCTGTGCCTCTGGTTTCCTCTCACATTCCAAAAACATGCATGGCGGGTAAATGGAACACTCTGACTTGTCCCTTAGTGTGAGTGCGGATGTTTTTTCTGTGTGTGCCCTGCGATTGGCTGGCAACCGGTTCAGGGTGTCCCTCCCCCGCCTACTGCCCAAAGACAGCTGGGATCCTTGTGAGGAAAAAGCGGATCGGAAAAAAAAGTTGCTCCAGTGCAAAAAAAAGTTACAATTCACAACAAAATGCAAATTATGGAAGATTTTAAAAAATCGATGGAAGTGCATAAGTTGAAAAAAAGGAATTTCAGAATTTTGAAAGATTAAAAATGTAACAATAAAATGATACAAAATACATTTTTTTCATTTCAAAAAATAAAACTGACAAATTACACAAAACTTTAAAAATACATAAGTCAATTATGACAACCGTTTTTTTAAATTGCAATCAAATGCTTGAACGGAATCCCAAAATATTGGGAAAAAAATCCAACCATCATCAACCATTAATTGATTCATTGGCGGCCCGATGAGGCCAGTTAATCAATTCTCCTCTGTTCTGGCCCGTGATGCATTCAAATGTCACAAGTTAGCGCATCTCCCCCCACCCCCACCCCACCTCTTCGTAAGCACTGCGCCTGCGCACTGCAGCACCTCCGACACCGCGTCTCCCAGGGAAGTCCAAGCGCTTGTCATTCACTTTCATCCATTCAGTCAGCCTCCACCACACCGCTGACCACCATCGTCCGCCGTCACGTCACCCCGCTCTCGCCACGAGCAACTGACTACACGTCACCCTTCTTCGGGGACGGGAAGAAGAACAGCGCACGAACACGAAGAAGTAAGTTGTTAGCCAACTTTTGGAGGGAGAGAGAACTAAGCTAGTTGCTAATTTAGCATCTGTCGTAACTAATGGTGCTAAATTACAAAACAAAAGAAAAGGGTTTATTCGTCGTCTTAGCGGATCCCGTGGTTGTCATTCAGTAACAGAAGAAAAGTATGTGACAATGTCGTACTGTGTCGAGAAAATGATGTAAAGTTGTGTGGCGCAACTCTTGCTATCACGCGTGTTTGTGTGTGAGAGGAATTGGAGGAATGTGTGTGTGTATGTGAGAGTGATCGGGAAAATTAGTTTTGTAATGTATGTGTGTGCACGTGTGTGAAAATCATTCCAATTTTAAACAGAAAGCGCCTGACCCTCAATAGTGTGAGTGTGATCTTCAAAATGCTCCTTTGCCTAATTTGCGTGTGTCTCCATATGTTTGTCTGAATCTTCCAGTTATGAGTGTCATGCATGAAGACCACACTGGCACAATTAGAAAATGGATCGTAAAAGTTTTTTTTAAAAAAACATTAACAAGTCCCGGTATCAACTTGGACTGTGTCATGCCTGTTGGAAGTCGATGAGATTATCATTGTTGACCTGGTCAGTGCTGAGCTGACATATTTTATAAACCTCTGTTCACAATTTAGACTGTTTTGGGTTTTTTTTTCAATCTATTCTGGCAAATAATGGAAAGCAACAGAAATGATGAAAATAATTCTAATGATAATAGAAAATGCGCAAATGGTAGAAATATTGGATGAAATTTAAAAAATGGCGCAAAGATTTAATAATACAAAACATTTATATGAAATTAGAATACGAAATTAATATCAGCAAACAAATGATACTAAAATAATTAGATGAGGAATGCATTAAATAATAGAACCCTGTAAACACAAATATTTGAAAATAATACAAAATATGAAACAAAAATAAAATATATTCAGTTAAAACTATGCAAATATTGCAAAAAATATATAATTGGAACAATATGAATACATACTAATGAGAAATATATACAAAATAGACATGAAAATAGTACACATTTATTAGACATCTTTGACACAAATATCACCATGATGCAATGAAAGAATAATGTGTACCAGAATAGGCTTTTGTCAACCTTTTTACGTTATTTTTAACATTTTCATTTGCGTTAGCCATGGCTGTGGTGAGGTTTTACGGTGGTGAGGTGAGGGGGCGGAGCCTCCAGCGGGCGGCCAAGCTCTACCCTCGGCTGTCTATCGCCACAGAGCTTTGCTACAATGTGGAGCTGATGGGTAAGTGTCAAATTCCTGAGAATACAGTAGACACATGAACACGACACACCCCCTGTTCAAATGGCAGGTTTTTGACCTCAGGGGTGTGTAGACTTTTTATAGTCTGCATGATCAATGATAATGCTCTCTGTGTGCAGCAGGAAGTGACAGTCTGAGTGCAGAACACAAGGAGATCCTCGTCTGGTTGTTTCAACCACCGCTGCAGGCAGAAACGCTCAGTGAGACACCCAAACTAAAAGAGGGAGACGGGGCTACACTGGTGGAGATCGGACCCAGGTACTCAAACCCAATGGCCCAAAGTGACCCAAAATTAAAAAAATATATATTCCATGAAAAGTATAAAGATTGTTAATTGTGCTCTTTAGGTTGAACTTCTCCACTGCGTGGTCCACCAATGCCGTGTCCATCTGTCAGAGTGCCGGCCTCGCCAGCGTCACACGGGTAGAATTGTCACGGCGATTCCTTATCAAGGTGAGCATGCCTCAAAAAAATATATATATGAATAACATTTAATATATTAATCAAATTATTATGACGGCTGCACATTGCTTTTAATACTTTTAATGTGTTTACAGTGCATTGAATAGTGTTACTCTCTGTCTTCTCCTCCCCAAGCTGAAGGACGAAGGCGACATGGCTGACGTCCGGAAGGACGTGACGAATCTGATCATCTTCCTGCATGACAGTATGACAGAGTGCATCTACGAGCGTCCCGTCGCCTCCTTTGCAGTGGACGCCCAAGCACAGCCCGTGTTTGAGGTGGACATCCTGGGCGAGGGGCGAGCAGCACTGGAGAAGGCCAATGACCAGCTGGGTGAAATGTCCTTTGATGTCTTTATAGTTTATTCCCTTATTAGCGTAGATATCAACCTTATGCTCTCTTTTTCACGGCCCCTTTTCAGTGTGGCTGCTCTTTGTCTACTGGTGGAGGTAATGGTGTCACATGAGCCCACGCTAATGTTATTACAAGTCACGCCACCGCCATGCTTGTCGTTATCTTGCACGTGCTTGTGTGTGACCATGCATGGAAGCAGCCAGTAATATGACACACTCAAAAATATTGGGAAAATAGACAAATATTTTTTTAAATACTGGCTGAAAAAAAAAACTAAAATATTCGACAAATAATGCAACTGTATTAATGCGCGATACACAAATATTGGGGGAAGAAAAGAGACCGAAAATGTAAACAATTGGGTTAAAAAACTAATTAGAAAATGAAAATATTTCTTTAAATGTATTGAAAATACATAAACATCAGGGGGAAAAAATGCAAGAAAATTCAAATGAAAATATAGTTGACAAATAGAACTATATTCCACAAACATTGCACACAAAAAATAGATGAATTAGACCAAAAATAAAAAATACTTGTGGAAGAATTAGAGATTACCCAGTACATAAAAAATATACAAATCTGGGATAAAAAAATGTAATCAAAAAATGTTATTTTTTTTCCCTGCAATGATTATATCATCATCCAAAATCGAAAATATGCAGTCAAAGAAGAGCACAAGTGAGGATCTCGTGCGTATGCATCACACAGGTCTGGCCTTTGACGACTGGGATCTGGACTTGTACACGGCAATGTTCCAGAGAATCCAGAGAAACCCAACCAGCGTGGAATGTTTCGACCTGGCTCAGTCCAACAGCGAGCACAGCCGCCACTGGTTTTTCCGGGGACGTGTGCTCATCGATGGGGAGGAGCAGAAGGAGACGCTATTCCGCCTCATCATGAATACGCAGGAGCACAGTAATGGCAACAATGTCATTAAGTTCTGTGACAACAGCAGGTAGGACACAAGCAAACGAGACACTGGGTCTTGGGAAGATGGTTCAGTGTGTTTGTGTGTGCGCCTTTAGTGGTATTCAGGGCATGGAGCTGGAGTGCCTCTACCCCAAAGATACTTCGCAAGCCAGTCCCTATGAAACACGCCGGTCGCTGCGACATGTCATCTTCACCGCTGAGACGCACAACTTCCCAACAGGTCTGATCACTTTGGCTCGTGATTTCCAATGTTTTTGTGCGTCAATTTCACATGAAAAAATCTCATGAACGTGGTTGAAGTTTACCCTAAAACTGACTCACAAAACAGGATTAAACACTCTATGGGTCATTCCATGACCCCCCCCCACCCCCCCAAAAAAAAAATCTGACAAATTTAACCCATCAGATTTTGAATTAAATGAAACATTGCGTACTGGCTGCTAATGTTGGCACAACACTAAATCTCTTTCAGGTCAATCGTAACAGGGGTTTGTGAACTACATTCACCCATTCACATAAACATTCATACAGAGTGGAAGCTTAGAGAGTTTTTTTCAAAGAAATAGGCAGATACCACAGGATTTTCTTGTTTAAGTAATTACATACGTGACGGGTGGGCACGTGCTCTAGAGACCCAAATATTTATATACATGCAATTAAAAATGTCAACTTCCATAACATGTTCTGTTTTAAATCAATTTCCATCCATAAGTTTCTCATGTGGTTAAACGCATAGGCGTGGCTCCATTTAGCGGCGCCACCACAGGCACCGGGGGACGCATCCGAGATGTCCAGAGTGCCGGGCGGGGAGGCCACGTCATCGCTGGCACTGCCGGATACTGCTTTGGCAATCTGCACATCCCAGGTCCGAGACGCACCTGCTTTCAAAGGCACTCTGAAGTTTGTCCAAATCACCCCTGCAACATTATAACGTCTCCCAACATGCTTTGCAGGTTACGCGCTTCCCTGGGAGCAAGACTGC